GTATTTTCAATAGGGATAGTTCGATGTATGTATTAAACCCGAAATATTTTGCTCTCATTTATTCAACTTTAACTTGCCAGGTTTTTTTGCAAACTTTTTATTTGAACCTTTACAATGTAAATATAAAGCGATTGTGTTCTGCTGTGAACTACACTTTTTAATCTCGTGTAAGAAAGTTTGCGTTGTTATCCATGTTTTTTTTCTGTTAATTACACTCTAATCTAAACGGATTTTATTTTATCAAACAGGGATCGTTTGATGTATGAAACCCGAAATATTCTGCTCTCATTTATTCAACTTTAACTTGTCAGGTTTTCTACTGTGGAAGCTTTTTACTTGAACCTTTACAATGTAAATATAAGGCGATTGTGTTCTGCTGTGAACTACACTTTTTAATCTCGTGTAAGAAAGTTTACGTTGTTATCCATGTTTTTTTTTCCTGTTAATTACACTCTAATCTAAACGGATTTTATTTTGTCAAATAGGGATCGTTTGATGTATCAAACCCGAAGTATTTTGCTCTCATTTATTCAACTTTAACTACCCAGGTTTTCTACTGTGGAAACTTTTTATTTGAACCTTTACAATGCAAATATAAAGCGATTGTGTTCTGCTGTAAACTACGCTTTTTAATCTCGTGTAAGAAAGTTTGCGTTGTTATCTATGTTTTTTTTTCTGTTAATTATACTCTAATCTAAACGGATTTTATTTTGTCAAACAGGGACCGTTTGATGTATCAAACCCGAAATATTTTGCTCTCATTTATTCAACTTTAACTACCCAGCGTTTCTACTGTGGAAGCTTTCTACTTGAAAATTTAAATTGTAAATATAAAGCGATTGTGTTCTGCTGTGAACTACACTTTTTAATGTCGTGTAAGAAAGATTGCGTTGTTATACATGTTTTTCTGTTAATTACACTCTAATTTAAACGGATTTTGTACTTTCAATAGGGATAGTTCGATGTATGTATTAAATCCGAAATATTTTGCTCTCATTTATTCAACTTTAACTAGTCAGGTGTTCTACTGTGGAACCTTTTTACTTGAAAATAGATAATGTAAATATAAAGCGAGTGTGTTGTGCCTTGAACTACACTTTTCATTGTCCGGTTAGACAATTTGTGTCATTTGTTGGTGTCATGGTGTTTCTCTTGCAAATAAGCTAGTTCGGATGTTTTAGGATTTTGAAGAAAAAAATGTTCTTTTACTGTAAAATTTCCCTTAACTAATACTTTTTCTTAGTGGCATTTCTTCCAAAAATCCCCTTTTCGACAGGGGGGATATTTTGTGGTTCGAAAAAGGGACCACGAGAGAAAAGACCCTTAAAACTCATTTAACTTTTACATATTCTACTAATAACATAAGAATATAAAGAACTGTTTATAGACCAAGAGTTCGACGAAGAACTCAACCACATAAAGGCAATAATATGCTTTAATCCAGATCAAAGATATGTGGAACTTGTTGATCATATTATGTTGGTATTGGTGTTTAATCGATAACATTATTTGGAGTAAGGATTAGTACATATTTCTATAAAATTTTAAATGCCGTCCCGCCTTTAAAACATTTCTATTTCATTTCTACTGGGTGTGACGAAGACATCGAGCTTCAAATGGACAATATTTCACTCAAATCTAAGTAAAAGCTGATTTTTTCGGAGATTCTAAACCTTGAAGTTTAAAGTTGCACTGTTTATCAAATGCCAGCCCGTCTTAAAAAAAAACTTCTCAGAAACCTCTTGCACTCAACTGTTCGCAGAAAACAACGGAGCCGAATTTAAATAGACAAAATTTCACTCAAATCCAAGCAATTTGTCATCATACATCAAATGCTGCTCACCTTTAAAAAAATATCAGATAACAACGGAATCGAGTTTAAACACAGAGCTAGTAGAGGGTCAGGAATTTAAACAAAGAGCAAAGACAATGTTTCACTCAAATCCAACCGAAGTACGATTTTTTTAGTACCAGATCGCATCGTAAAGCATTACCCCGAGTCCTAATACATACCATATACACACCCGTTTTAGTAATTAGAAGCATACAACAATAGTATGTAGTCTGTGGAACAAGGCTTATTATTATGATGATTAGAAGTTTGTTTTGATTAACGTAACCTCAAACTGACTTGCGCATGTCATTTAAGCAAGGAGCCGATTGCGATATATGCACTAGTGTGGGTTAGATCGTTACTGTCATTAATTTTGACGTGATTTTGACATACTAGACCAAGTCAATGCGGAGTGCTGATATACCGACAGAGCAGAGCGAGGCCGAGAATTATTTCGAACAAAATGTGTTTGATTATTGGGATTATCTTAATTTAATTGCTCATAACTTAAGTTATAAAAGAAAAACTCAACTAATAAATAAAAGTGTTGCCAACGACATTTAATAATATATCCATTTACAGCATAGATAAAGACCAGTACCCACAATTTACAGTTGAATTTTATTCAACGGTTACTTGCTAGTAGAAACGATTCTTCACAGCTCCAATCACTTTAGGGGAGTCCGATAGAGGGCCCGCAAGGGAATAAAGAAACCTGCATAAAATTTGCATGCTTCCGATTTATATTGAGGTTCACTTCACTCATTCACTGAGGTTTTATGTCAAATGTCAAATCCAGTGTTGAGTTTTTAGTCACGTTAAAATTAAGTTTGTATTTTTATAAAATTAATTACAACTATAAGCTTAACCATGTCTGAGAACAGAGAGGTGATTTTAGCCGATTTCCAGGTAATTTTCTTTAATAAATAATAATTTATTTTCATCTCCATTCGTTTTTGTTTATGAGATGTTACAAAAAGAATCTTACAATGACAAACACATTCAGGGACATTATTTTTGTCTTTTTAGGCTTGTACTGGAGTGGACGATGTTGCTGAAGCTATTTATCATCTTGAGGAAACTAACTGGGACCTTTTGGTATGTGACATTACCTAAAGTTCTATGAACCATTCTCAAAAATGTTTTCAATTCTTTTGAAAACGTACAAAGAGCTGCCATTATTTTTAGTTAAAATAATTTCCTATTTGTTATTTACTCTTGGTATAATAGTTTAGTATGAAATTTGCTTTTTAAATTCATGTAGTTTATTTTCGTTATATGCAAGGATTTACAGGGAAAACTTCGAACATAGTATTGATTTTTCGGCTGAAGTTGAATGTATTGTTTTCTATTGTGCACGCTTTGTTACATTGAAGTAGGTATTTTGAAAAACTGAAAGGTTTTTTCTGATAAAACTTGGTAAATTCAATAGGAGCCAACCATAATTCAAAACTTTTTGTACATTCAAACCTCAACGAAATATCAGCTTTTTCGATAAAATCCGGTTTTACAACGTTATACTGCAAAGCCAAAGATTCAGGTCTAACTATTGCCATAAAAATATTTTGTAGACTTACCACCATCGACAATTAAAAATATTTGTGTACAATTGTCAAATCATTGATTGACCTAACAACTTCAACAAAGAGTTTATTTTCCCGTTCAACGCGAAGACACCACGTGTTTCAGTTAAATAATTGAACTTTCATCTAGATTTGTTCTAGGTTTCTATATTTAAATAATGACCTACTTACGACAGTGATGTAAAGTTAAATTATGGTCTCTAGAGAAGCCAAGTTCCAATAATTGCTAACGCCACCCTTATAGCTCGGGCTCAAAAGCAACTTTACCCAAGTCTGCAATTAAAAAACGAATAAATCCCGTTTGTATTTGATTAGCTTCGTCATCTCTGATATGCCGTCATATTTACACAGACCAATAAATTAGTTACCGAATTTTCTAAATTTCTTTATAATTAGCTTCCCATAAAGTGAACCGAATGTATATTCCGTAGATGTAAAGATTTTGCTGCAAGTGAATACATATTTCCCCGGATCATAACAAAGTTAGATCAGGCCTATTATTTGCTTGTATTTTTTCCAGCGTTGCTTTACGTTCCGTAGAGTAGTGATGCGACAAATTGAAAGAGCCAAACAGATATGTAATGCTTTAACTCATCAACAGTAATGTGAAATTGTTTAGAGTTTCAAAACGACATAAAACAGAGTATTGTTTGCTTCAGTCTACCATTTGCATTTAGAAGCAACAAACTAGCGTATATGTGTTGTATAGACCTGCAGGAAGCATTTAATGGAGTAGTACCTCATAACTAAATAACAAGCATAGAGAATGTATGCAGTGCCAAAGTGTTCAAAGCTCATGGATCTTTTCATTTCAATTGATTCTGTTTGGCTCTTTGCATCAAGTTGAAGTTGAAAAATGGGATAAATTATGTTGATAAAATATACCTTGTAGAACAACTGACATAGCTTATGTAACAACATAATATTTTTTAGAGGGCAGTAAGTCGAGTAATGCCGCCTGCCACTCAAGCATTCCATCCTAACAATGATCCTGACGTTATGATAGTGGAAAACGATGATTCTGATGTAGCAGCTCCTGGACCGTTTAAACCGCCGGTATTGGATGATAGTGATGTAGAAGTGATGGAGGTTGGCAACAGTTTAGGCCAATCACCTGCAAAAAGACGGGACGTGTCGTCGAATTCTTCACAGATGGAAAACAACTTTGCCGTTGCATCGACGTCAAGTGGTTCTCCTGGGGCGTCTACAGGACCCAAAATATTAAATTTTAATATCAAATATTGTGATAAGGTGGTGAAAATAAGACTTCCAGATACAGCAAATTTGAGTAAGTTGATGGTGGATCTACTGTTCGTTGAATAGGTGCTTCATTTGTATTGTGGGATTTTCATGCAGCACATTTTTCTCATATGAGTTATTTCAATTTAAAAGTACTTTATTTGGTTTTTAAGAGGACCTGAAGCAAAGAATACAAAATGAACTAAATGTTCCACCCTGCAAACAAAACTTATCGAATTGGGCCCGAATGACAACCTATGATTCAACAACATTTGCTGTTCTACAGCTGCCGCCAGAAAATGATCTTGTTCTCACCGTAAAGTCGCTTAATGATGGTGTTACAGCAGAAAATGAGTGAGTACATTTTCTACTAAATGTATTTTTGGTTTCGACTCTCTCAGGCACTTCGTCTACTTAAATCTAAGAATCAATTTTTATTAGCCATGAGATATATGTTTAGTCTCGCTTGTAGAAGCGAGGTGACAAAAAAACTTAGTGGCACATATACTCTTCACATCAAGTATGAAAACAAAACGTATGATTTGAAGTACCTAGGGATTAAGACAATTCTGCAAGTTAAGACTGACTTGTATACATTAACCAATATACCAGTTCGACATCAAATTTGGAGCGGTTGGCCGCCAAATATAGATGATAATACTATGTTGGCTTTATCAGGGATAAGGTAACAATTTTATTTTTCTTAATAAAATGAAATTGTTTGCATAGACCAGGCTGCACTTTGTGAATTAACAAAAATGCGGCTCATAATACTGTGTTACTGAATCACACTTTTAAACCATAGACCGTAGTGTAACAAAATGGCAAAATGGTCTTATCCGTTTTGTTACGGTACATTCATATTGACGGCAAAGACCCCGAACATTGACGATTTGCTTTCGGATATTTATACAGGGTGTTTCATTAGGGATATTGCCTTGGTTCGTAACTAGTATATATTGATTTAAAATAATTGTCTCTCTAAGGGTATCTAGGAAGTATGGGAAAAATTGTTTAACTAATCTCACTGAAAAATTATCTTTTTTTACTAAAAACTGATATTTTTGCAATAATAGTTTTAATTTGCACTTGCACTGAAATTGATAGCAGCCAACTAGCTCGTTTTCTAGTAATTAATGCGATAAAACTGAGTGAAGTATTTTTTTATTATTGTAATACTTCCACAACATGATACGATTGCCATGCTTTTTGTCTTCGAAGTAAAAATATAACTCGTTGCCATCTTTACATCGCGATATCGCCATATGGGTGACTTGCGATCTAATGTTTTATAACAAACTACCTTTTGTTGTCACTCAGGAAACATTGGAGCTCAATGAAGTTTTTAACTTTGTTGTGAAACACCCTGTATAAATCCACAAATCTGGCCTTCTATTTCATGTTCATTTCTGTAGGAAATTTATCAGGTTTTTGACGAATCAGTATCAAGAAATGTAAATTGAACCCATGTTTTCTACTAACTGTTTGAATGCTTTAGTTCAGAGGCTAAAATGTTATGCTGAGACCAGTATATCTCGTAACTTTTTTTTCTAGCTTTCCTGAACATGAATTTACAATTCGCAAAAATCTTCAAACGAAAGAAAAGGAAAAACGGTCCATGCCTCAAATTGTGCAACTTGATAGCGATGAAGATGAATTTGAAGATGCTTCTGAAACTTTTAATGTCGAAGACGATTATTTCGTCGATAATGTTAATACGGCTAGGAAACGAGAGCCCTTGAGTAAGTGTTAATAGTGATTGGGTTTTATTGCTATCAAAAGATTGCAATTATGCTTTTAATAATCAGTGTGTTTTTTAAATCACATTTACACATCTACTTCTGACATATACTTTTGTAAGTTTGGTCTAACATTTTAGTTCCCGACAATGTTGAAGACGAATTAATAGGCACCGTAACATTCAACGAGAGATTTACAGCTAGATATGGGTCTGTACATCCATTATTTTTCCAAGGAACTCTAGAGCAGGCTTTAAAAGAAGCCTGCATTAGGCCCGCCAAAGATGTGAGTAAAGTGGGTCAAATATAATATAAACAAGTAAAATTGTGTGTTGGCATCTACTAAGAGTAAAATATTTAAAATATGGTTTGATATAAATTACAAAAAATATTTTTAGAGGAAGATCCTAGCGGTGTATCTACACCATGATGCAAGTGTATTGACAAACGTGTTCTGTACCCAACTGTTGGGCTGTGAAAGTGTAATGCAAGTCATAGAAAAAGACTTTGTAATATGGGGCTGGGACTTTACCTTTGAGAGTAATAAGCACAAATTTTGCGCATCGATAGCGAATTATTTGGGACCCCATACAGTTACCAATCTAAAAGATATACCAGTAGATCGGCTACCCGCATTGGTACTTTTGGCAAAAATGAGATCGTCTATAGAAGTGTTTAACGTTATTAAAGGTAAGCCTTATTTTAGGTAGAATCGATATGATAATGCAAGGATTTCAAGGTATATCGTCTACTAAATACGACTTTTGCAGCGCAATTATCATATTTTTTTAGGTAATGTTGGTGTCAACGAAGTATTGGGGACGTTAATGGAGTGTGTGCAGTTGATTTACGAAAGTTATGCAGTTGAAGCCAAGGAGGAAACTGAAAGAGCAGAAAGGGAGTTGGTTAAGTGGGAACAAGATGAGGCATATCGAGCAAGCTTGGAAGCGGACAGGTATGGATAGTTCAGAGTTCAGTTCATAGAAATATTTCAGTATACGACAATTATGCAAAATTAATTTGTGAAACGCAGGACGAGATTAATAGGTTTATAATTTTTTTATATTTGCTCCGCGAAATTAGGAAAAAAGAAGAGACACGACAGAAGCAAGAAAAAGAGGAGATGGAAACGAAGAAGCGAATTGAAAACGAAATTGCTGAAACCGCAGCGAGAAAAGAAGCACAGCGCCAAGAAGTGGAGTGTAGGTTACCTCAAGAGCCTGTTGCCGGCCAAGGAGAACAGACGAAAATTAGATTTAGGCTTCCTAAAGGAGAAAATGTCGAAAGAAGATTTACAGCAGACACTCCATTAAGGGTAACATATTGTCCATAGCGACATATATTTTAAATCTACTTTTTCTTATCTTAATCTACTAAATCTGTTTTTCTTTAAATGTTTTATAGGTTCTGCTGGACTTCTTAATTGTTCAAGGTTACCCAAGTGAAGAATACAAAGTTATTTCGAGTTGGCCTCGAAGAGATGTAAGTATTTTCTTTGCTTAAAATGTTATCATCCAAGCAAATAATAAGGTATTATTTGTCAAAATATCATATTATTTAATTTTTAAAATTATTTTAGTTCTGCTTCTAACATAGTAGACACATACAAGCATATACACTGATGGTTGTGAAGTCTTGATTTCCTTAAACATTTTTTGTTTTTCAGTTAACAGCTCTTGATGAACGACAAACACTGAAAGAATTAAAGCTGTGTCCCCAAGAAACTGTGATATTAGAGGAACGCTAAATTGTCTGGTTTACTTTATATTGATAAAATTTTCATAGCAGCATTTAATTCTACTACAAATGTATAGTTAGTTTAATATATTTTCAATTTAATGTAGTACTACATAAATTAATTAAGGCTTTTTAAGTATACCTTCATGATTTCATGTATTAGTGAGTGTTATTTCAGCCATAAATCAAATGAACAGTCGTCTTAAAGTTAACCCTTGTACAGGGTGGACAAAACTGAAGTGGCATAACCTCTGCAGCGTATTCTACGTTCAATAATGTAAAATGTAAAACACTTCATTTTTGAAATACAGGGCGTTAAAGATTGTATCTATGATACAATGATCAAATTTATTCATATTCTATGGCTCAATTATCTGCCGGAAGAAAGTGTAAAAATGCCGTTTAGTACTAAACCTCAATTTTTCTCACGTAGGCAATATTTAAAAATTTAAAATAGTAAACATTTTTATAGCCCAGGAAAGGTTTAGTTAGTGCATCAAATGCAAAATGGTCTTAATCGTTTTTATGAGTATTACCTTTAGCCTGACTTCAGAAGATTAATTGCGGCAAATGTCAATATCTTTAACGAATAGCCTACCCGTAATATTCTCAAAGAAGGAAAACGTAATGGATTTTCCACATTATATATTTTAAGTTTTGAGGAGCACAATTTAAAAACCAACCACAAATATAACGTTGACAAGTTGGCTTACGTTTGCCAACAAATATGGCTGCCATGGTTGCCGCCCTGCTTTAATGAAAAGAAGGTAAGTAAAAAAATGAGAATAGAAAATAGACCAAAAATATATAAATATACAGATTTCATAGGCTTATTTTGTGCGGTAGTTCAACACCATAGTAATTTTATCACTTAGAAAATATGTTTTTTTTTTTTCGTTACGTATTAGGCAAATTTGGGATTAACTATTTCCTTTATGACTACCTACTTGTGCTAAATCAAAAGGAGAAACGCCGAAAACTGAATTTATTTAGAGATGAAGTTAAACTATAATAAAATTTAGTAAATACATTTTTTGTTTTGTTTTTTTCACTTAAATCGAATTTTTTATGACCCGGCTACACTGCTTATGGCTTGTCAGCGTCAATCAGCTAAATATCACTTGTCAGTTTTGTTGATATTAATTTTTAAATCCTGCAAAGTAATCAAGTTCCAAGTTTTCAAGACAATTAAAAGGTGATTGAGTGATCATTTACGCTTTGCCGCATTCAATTGTAATGTTGCTGATTAGATTTTTGGAATAGGCTTTAGACAAATGGATTAACCTGCATTTTTGCAGGATCTTCAACTGGAAACATGGCTGATGGCAGAGTTGATCCACCCCCTCTTTTTGAAAGCGTTGATATTTCGAACGAGAATAATGATCTTTTTGTATCAGCCAGGGAGGTAAGTGAACAACAAATAAGTCGTTTTTGGTCTACAATTTATTTTGTCATACGTTTAGTGAATTGTGGCTATTCTTAATATTACCGCTGACACTTCTAACAAAGCGTCCACCCTCTGACTGTTCAACATTTTATTTCAACAAATTTAGACTTATTGCATTGTGTTGTTAGCAGTTTAAAATAGCAGGTGTATTCAGCTATATTTGATTCATATGTTGCGCAATTAAAACAACCATTAAGCAAATTGATTCCTTCTTACAGCAAACTAACGTGCAATAGTGCACTATCAATTTTCGATTGATAGAAAATATTAGCAGGGAATTAATGATTAAACTTGAAATGTTTGATTTATGACAAATCGATTCGCTTTACTGGGATATTGATCATCCGGCTTAGTATATTATAGATAACTGTATGGGTTAAAATCACATTATGCGAGCGCACTCCGCAAACAGCACCGAAAATTGCTCATAAAACCCGTTTTATCTTCTTTCTTGAAGTTTCCAAAAGACTGCAAAAATTTGCAATCCCAGAAAATAACGTCAACCATATAGAAAATCAACGCAATTTATTTCCTATATTCCTCTTTAAAATAATAGATTAAACCTCTTTAAGAGAAAACTTGTCACTGTGTCTTAAACTGAAGCTGCTTAAGTATTTTCTAATTAGACTCGTAGTTAATACCAGTGGAGTTTTTTATTTAATTTAGGATCCTATTGATGAAAGTATAAGAAAAATAACAAACGGCACTAGAGAACCCGTTGATATATCAAAACTAAATATTTCGGAATCTAGAAGCGAAATGGAATCTGTGCCAATTAGTTCTGAACCTGTATTATCACCGTCTGAACGGGTATGTTGTAGTTGTAAGATTTGCATAGTTTTTATTGCTATTTTACGAATCATTGTTTTGATGATGATTAACTAATCCAACTGATATCCACAGGCTGAACTTCAAAGTGGAGATGAATTCATAGAAATCAGTATAGGAAATTCTCAAAAGATTGGCGAAGGAATGAGCGCTTACGTCGCCTATCGAATCACTACCAAAACCAATATGCGTATTTTTAAGCACAGGGAATTTTCCGTTGTGAGAAGGTTCAGTGACTTTTTGGGCCTTCACGATAAGCTTATAGACAAGTACTTGAAACTTGGAAGAATTATTCCCCCAGCACCCGAAAAAAGCGTTATTGGTAAGAAAAAAAATTATACAAAATACTTCTCTTATCGCTCTAATCTTGAAAACCTTGACAAAGCTTGTAGCTAATAAAATGCAAATTTGAAATTTTTAAATTTTGAATGATTTCAGATATGCAAAAATTTGTTTTTCAATAAATTACTCCTTAAAACCGGTGGAAAATTATAGTAGCAAATTTGGACTCGATAGTTTAATGTTTACGATAGATCGCATTCTTCCGTTTAAAACATTGTTGTTTAAATTAATAACGATTAATTAACTGGAAACTATCAAGACCCAAAGTGTTTGAAAGGAACGAAACAAAGTTCATGATTTTTTAAACGATTTCTTTTAGATGAATCGCTCGAATAACGGTTGTACATTTTGAAAAGTACTATTCTGTAATTAATTCATACCTATTTTAAAATCTAAAAATACATGATTACTGATTAAATAATCCTTATACAAGAAAAAGTTTCAAAACTCTTCTTGTTCTAGGAGGTGAAGCCTTTTTTGTCTAAAACGAAAAAACGATATATTCTCACGTACTATAATTTTTTTTATTTTATCAATAGATCTTCAAATTAATTCGGAAGAAATAGAATTGATCTATAAGTACTTCATTTCTTTAAAGTATTCAGGCCTTTAAATATTTTAAGGCGGAATTTACATATATTGGCCAGAAACTTGTGCAAGTTGGCTAATGAGATTAATATGGTTGTAGTAGTTATTTGAATGTTTATAGGAGAAAAAAATTTTATATAGAGAATTTGTACTTTAAAAAAGTAGAAACTTGCAATGGCTTTTCAGGCCAATCTAAGATTAGTAGTTCCTTTACATTATGAGTCAGGAACATGATTGCATTCGATTTTGCCCTTGTCTTTAGTTCGGAGTTGTTTTGCCCCAAGAAAATGTTATATATTATTTCGCGTTAATGGCAATCCCTTTCCTTTAGACAGGTACATTTATTGCGTTAACCTTATTACAAAATGAATCGGAGCTATTTTTGAAAGTTAATTCGATTCAACAGGAATGACGAAAATAAAAATGGGGAGTAGTACCGAAACTGCTCAAAATAATGGTAGTGAGTTTGTTGAACGGAGGAGAGCTGCTTTGGAAAGGTATTTGCGACGGACCGCACAACATCCTGTTCTCATCTTAGATCCAGATTTTAGGGAATTTCTGGAATCCGGTATGTAATAATAAATAAAATTGGATAATACTTGTATTAGGACAGCTATGTAATATCAAAAGATTGCCTTTCGAATGTATTTTTGAATGTATTAATGTGGAAATAATGTCAAAACTGAAAATACATTCACATCCTACAGTGGCTGTTACCTCTTAAGGCAGGAAGTGATGCTTTACCGCACGCTCCAAGCAGTTTATTAAAAACAGCGCATTCTGAAGCAGAAAAAAAAATTCTTTTAAAATTTCGGTAAAGTAACTTTAACTAAATATTTGTTAAAAATCAAACATCAGGGTTGGTGTAGGAATGTATTTCTAAAGAAAGGATTTCCGTACCCAAATAAGTGAGGTAGAGTACCTTCACATATTCAAATAGTGTCAATCTTATTTTAGACATAGAGCTTCCCAAGGCAACAAGTACATCAGCTCTGAGCAGTGCAGGTGTGATGCGATTATTTAACAAAGTAGGTGAAACTGTTAATAAAATCACGTATAAGATGGATGAAACGGATCCGGTAAGTATTCATATGGTTTGCATTGAAACTAATTTCGCACTTTTGTCGAGATATCCGCAGAGGCGAACAAATGCCGATGTTAAACTACCAACTTTAATATTACAGTGGTTTGAAGAAAAGCTCTCTCATATTGAAGGGCTGGAGGTTCAGCTGCGAAAACTGCATAGTAACGTTGAGGCTATGGTTACCTATAGAAGAGAATTATCAAACCTGACTAATGGAGTGTCTAGATCTGCGGCAATGCTAAGTTCCTGCGAAGATCACACCTCTTTGTCTAGAGCTCTGACTTTTCTTGCCGACACTGAAGAAAGGGTAATGCTTTGCCTCAAAATAAGTTTATTGTCACACTTGATCGCCTATAATAAGGATTTCCTTGAGCATAGTGTTGCTGTTTTAGGTGGAAGCTCTTCATATAGAACAAGCTAATACTGATTTCTACATTCTTTGTGAATTGCTAAAAGATTATATTGGTCTTTTGGGTGCTGTCAGGGATGCCTTCCATGAACGTACTAAGCTTTTTCAGCACTGGCAACATTCCCAACAGATGCTAGCCAAAAAGAGGGAGGCAAAAGCTAAATTTGGTCTTCAGAACCGAACGGATAAAGCTGACCAAGCCAGTATAGAAGTTGTTGAGGTAAATAACAATAATTAATTATATTCATATGTATCAGGTATGTTATTGACACATAATTTATACACTTTTTGCAATTGACCAAAGATCGAGTTAGCACGCACATTTGTAATCACTTGCCCAATGTTTTTGCTAAAATAGCTTACATTGAAAATGGTATCTTGTGTATAAAGTCAAAATCGCACTAAGTATTCAAAACCTGATAATACTCTCAATGTACCGTCGTTTATTATTGTGCAGTGTGTTTAACTCTATCGTTAGATTACTTACCGGTGGTTATTCATTGATAAACAATTTTTTTTAATGAAAACATGTTTTGCTACATACATAATGTAGACGTGTATTTCGATGCATCATCGAAGGATAAATTTGTAAATGACAGCAGAAGTGAAGTGAAATGTATTTAATATCAAATCGTATCGATTTATTCTCAACACATTAAAATAAACGACATAATTAAGGTGCAGTTGCTCAAGCCTCCAAGTCAACCAGTAGTTTTATTTTATTTTACACTAACAAAGCTTTTTTTGGATGCCGGATATGTTATGTTGCTTTTCTGTAAAAATGTTTCACGTAAAGTGCTTACTGCATTCAGTGATTGTATTCATTATACATATTTCCAGTGGGAATCGAAAGTGGAACGAGGACAAGAAAGTTTCGATAAAATATCTAGAATGATCAAGGAGGAAATGGGCAGATTTGAAAAATCTAGAATACATGATTTCAAAATAATGTTCATCGAGTATTTAGAAAATCATTTAAAGCATCAAGCTCAGGTTAGTGATTTAATTGAATTGTATTTGAAATAAGTGTAGATGCCATTTCTGAGCTTGCAGTCCGGGTGCCCGTGTAGTTTTTTACAAATTCTGTTATGAAAAGTCTAGCTCTATTAATAAGTAAAAACGAATCTTTGGTGCCTTTAGTTTTTCAATATTTCGAACCCTCATAATTTACTTTCTAATTTCAGCTTGTACAATATTGGGAAAAATTCCTTCCAGAAGCTAAGGCGATTGCCTGACTAGAGGATATCTGTAAAGAATAGCAACATCTACATTCCTATTGGCGCTTTCCTGAAATATGAGAGGTTTTATTTCGAATTAGGTATGTGATTGCTTAATTTGATAACTGTCTTTAATTACTGTTTCTTTAGAAAGAAAAACAGTGATATGCTTAATACTGTCGGTTTTTGACTATTGATTTATGCTATATTTAAAAAAAACTCAAGGTTCAATTTCAAACAGTTAATCTCTTGTTGTAATAGTATTCTATTTTTACGAAATATTGTAATGGGATAATGCTTAAACCAGTAGTTCAAGTTAATTGTTGAAGAATCTTTCTCTGCGTTTTTATTCCCGAAGCAGTACTAGTATCAATCAAAATGTTAAAATATGTACCTTACTGTTATATGCTTTCTCATGTTAAGCGAGTTCCTTCATTTTTTTCAAGATTTATTTTATATTATATTCATATAACCAAATAAGTATGTACAGTGTGCATGCAAAACATCCGTTTATCATTGCAATTTCATATTGTTTGAAAATAATTAATTGTTTTACTGTTGTAAAACATACATTGCATTTCAAAGTTTATTTTCTGCATTAATTAATTAATTTTGTACATAGACCAAAATCTGCTCATAAATCAGCGACGTTTCTACCATCTACTATAAATTTAAAAACGTAAAAACCTTTAGTCGTAATGTAATTACATGATTACATAATACATTAGCCGAAGCTAAGGTGAATTGAAAATAGTGTAAGTAATAAGTTTTCTAAAAAGTAATTTTATACTAGCAGGTTCTTCTTTTAGAAAAAAATCTTTTTAGAAAAAAAATGCTATTAAATATAAAGTACTAGAAAAACTTTAAATTTGAGTGTCAAGACTATATATTAATAGTTTATGAACATAATTCTGCTTTTCCTTTCGCTCAAGTGTGCATTTCCTGAATATAGAAAAACTAGACTTGTATTTATTCTAATATATCAGTGCAAAATAGAATTTTATACGCGTATTGGTGTGCTGAAACTGTACTAGAAGTAATCTACTAGTTAGGACCTATAGGGATTTACTGAAACTTAAATAAACAATCAGAAGGCTTATTGTTTCCATATATTTATGAAGATTTACATAAATACTATACTCTTAGATATTCTGTTTTATTTTGTATTCTATAAATATTTTTGTGTCACCAAAATATATATCTATTTGTTGTTTTAAGTACTTTTATTTCAAACTGAAACATTCACTATTGAAAACCCCAGCATAATGTCTAATTGCCATTTTATTGTACGTCATATTGGATTTACATTCAATTGTCATTTTCAGAAATACAGTAAAAAATACGTACAACTCTTATTTTTGGTCCTGAATTCATTAAATTGAATTTGTTAGAAAGTCAATCACAATAATAATGTTTTGTTCATGAGACCAGATATTTTTCACACATTCATTTGGAACTATGCTTATTAGTTACTAACTGAATCGCAGACAATTTTTTTAAAAACCAAAATTTTCCTTTTTTTTACGGTCACTTTTATCTAAATAGTTGATTCGGAAACAGCCCAAACTTAAAAATATGCAGTACCTAGAAAAAAAGTGAAATTTTCCCTTACATTACCCATCAATATGGAGCGGCAAAATATCCTCGTCTGTAAGACCTAAAAGTATAGAAATCAGTCCTTTTAAAATAAGTGTTCGATTCAAAAAATAGAAACAACGAAAACATAACGTACATAATATAAATAAATAAAGAAGTAACATCATAGATACAGGGATGTCGCCAAAAAATTACATCGTACACACAATTAATTGATGTTACGTGATTCGTTTATTTTTGCATACGATTTTTTTATGTTTGAGTTCCAAAACGAGTGGAAATAATGCTGATAAAGCGTTATACTATGCAGATGCGTATAGACCATACAGGGTGATTCAAAACTGGCGTCATTTATTTATAGGGTTACCGCAGCATACAAAAAAATTACTTTTAATTTCTTGATATAACTCTTGGACTTTCAACTTTGCCATTAAGCAACTTTTGGGAGTTTGTCAATGGTCAAATGGTCAATGGCAACTGAATATTTGATTGTTGAAGAACACTAAAGCCTTAACAGTGAGGAATTTATAGTTCCATCAGTAAAATCATTTTTTCACTATAACAGCTATTTATCTAATGTCAATAAGAAGAACGTCATTTACAGATGCAATGAAACACATTGTTGCTAGATTTTCCATGCAGTTTTTGTACATATTTTTGTCCACCGTGAGAATTCATATTTTTCAATTGATGTTTGATATTATCTAACTACCTGAATACCAGCAGACAACACATCCAGAAGAATGGCAATTTTTGGTCATCCTGATCAAAATTGTCTTTAATTAACTAGTCAAACCTTAAAAATCGTCAAAATCCAATCAATCTGTATGTAAGAAACAAAATGTCGGCTTTCATAAAATATTTTTTTAGAAAAATTGTTTCGCGATAAGAACATGCTAATCGCATTATAAAAATTATAGCGGTTAAACTAAAACAAAAACAATATCTACTTACATGTAAAACTATTTTTTGTGTAGCCTTATAACTTTTATATTTAGAGTGTCTTTCGTACCTTTACTAATAAACTAACCAGAAACGCTCAATGCGGATTGATTGGTTTATTGTTTGCATTGTTTCTATTTTTTCAAATGAGTGTACTTAATTTTTTGCAACGTTATTCACAGAAACCCGAAACAAAACAAAAAACAATATACATAATTGAAAGTGCCGTTTTAAAAATTTACATACACTCTTGCACATTCATATGTTCGACTGACCTGGGTCGACGCATAGGACGGTATCCATAAAACCCTCCTCTGCTGGCGCCTCTGCCTCTAAATGTCGATACTCCTCTGCCTCTGGGTGGTCGATTGGTTGTGGATATCCCCGGCCGATTTGTTCTTTTAGGCATAACCTGCACACAAATCATTAAACTATGTATAAAAAAATAGCCTTTCGGACAACGTAATATATTTTTATCTAAGACACTGAAACATGTGAGTATGAAGCAGATTCCACACTTGTTAGTTACTTATAAGCAAAGTGAAAAAGTGTGAAGTGCGAGAACAAAGATTGAAAAACGGTGCGTCGAGCGGATTTTTAACTAAAATCATGGTGCTTCTTTAGATAAATTCGGAACGATTTTATTGGGAGAACATTCGGGACCCGTGTATTTATTTTATTCATGGTTGGTTTTTCGATGCAAAGGGTTAATGTAATTCGTTAGAATTTAACGTTATTCGTTCGTAACTAAATTGTTTTAAACATAATGGTCATGCCTTAATCTGTCTCCCTCGAAACAATGATTCATCCATTGCCATTGCGGTTTGAACAGAGTCTCTGTCTCCAAATTCGATATAAGCAAATCCTTTGGGGTGGCCATCAAATCTGTTACACAGGATTGTTACACGGTTTATTGAGCCACATCCATGGAAGTGTTGCTCCAGTTCTTCTGCAGTTGCACCGTAGTCAACATTACCGACGTATATGCTTCTATTATCCACTTCCATTTTTTCTTCAATTGACATATTTAATGGACTTGCTATAAAAAAATATTCAAAATTTAATAAGCAGAATAAATAGAGGCAAAGATCTTCCAAAATTTGTGTTATGCGTATGAGTTGAAATGCAATCGCAAACTCACTTATTCCAGGAGGACTGCCCAAATTCATTTGCTTATCAACCTCGCTCTGCAACTGCTTCAGTTTTTCTGCTTCTTCTTCCATTTCCCGAACTCTAGCCTTGATGGCTTCAAGTTCCGGATCATCCTTAACATCCATATCGGCATCATTCAGAAGAGACTCATCATGTGCTCCGTTTGTCTCATCGAACGAATCCAGCTGATCTTCACCAATTAGAGGATTTCCAGAATCTAATTCGTCATTTTCCGCCATCGTCTGTAAGATTATTATGATTTGCTTAATTATTTAGATTTCTGATCAAATCATTTGATGCAGAGATCTCGATGTCGCTGTATATCCTTGGGATTTTAATCTGCAGTAGTTATTTCCAAACACTAAATACCTTCGATTTCTAATTAATTACATTTAGGTCCGATTCGTCGGGTCTGGACTAAACGGTAATCAGAAAATGAAATATAATCGACGCTTTCAATGCGACACATTGCAATCAAAGTCATGTCACACTTAAAACTATAGCGTTTTGAGAAAATACCAAGTTCAATCAAGGTACAAAATACCTGACGGCAAGTTATTTGCGACGCGAACAGCGATTAATAAATGTTTTATTTTCGAATTTTTCCATGAATTTTAAAGTGCAAAACTCCTCTTGTAACTGCTTGAAAGTACTTTGAAGCCAATTTTAATTTCACCCGTTACATTTGCAACAGGCAAAATATATTAAAATGGAAGAATACTTTTTCCACCGCTGTTTTATATTACTCCTTATGAATCTGTCTAATTAAATGTATAGTGGTAGTGCTGATTATTTCCCAAGGGATTTATGGCTATTAAGTAGTGCGCAATGAATCAAAATCCAAAACACAAGCTTAAAGAAAATAGTTTGGAATAAAGGTAATAATAACGAATATGCCTACTATATCTCCTTTAGTGACATGCTCTCGACCCTCTTGTTCATGGCAGAAAAGCACTAAATTAGGCTTAGCCCTAAGGATGATTTAAACATAGCCGAAGCGTTGGTCTAAGAAAAATAGTATTTTTTGCTGGTATCTATTGACTGATTAACCCAAACTCATCAAGAAACATCTTTTATCAATTTATTTAAAAGTTTTAGGTCTTTTAAAATGGCAAGAGCATGGCAAAAACATTTTTTGACAGACTCTAAAATTTAAATATTACTCCGGTGTCCCATGCATTCGTTTATACGATGGGACGATGATAGGAAAGTGTTTCTATTGGTTGGATCGAACGAACTGACAGATCTCCAACCAACAGAAACACTCATGCGGATGCATGGGACACGGGCTAGTCCTACTGTTATGATGATGTTTCGATACGGTTGTTAACTTCATTGGAAGAAAATCCAAAAAACGGAATGCGGAAAATTTATAAAATTTTACAAGAATATATTATGAAAACATTTTTTTCTTAACAGACGATATTTTTTACATCCGTTTACCGACTCCAGGCTTATTAGAGGCAAAATTGTAATATCGATTTCAAACCTAAGATAAGTTGGGTCTGCGCAAAGTCTATTGATTGGGTGGGATAAAAATTGGGGCGTGCCCAATGCGAAACCCATGATTTTTGAATTGAGACATGATTTGCGAACTCCTGATTCCTCAGCGAAAAATCAGTTGCCAATTTTAACAACTCCTAGTCCCCCGGTCTCTAACCTGCTGGAAGGTTTAATATTTTATACCATTAATTAATTTCGCTTATGTCGCGAATCAGCTTTGAACATGTTTAACAAAACGCATTTTAATAATTCGTTAAGCGAAAATAACATCTTGAAAGCTTGTCCAATATTTCATAACTGGTTCATAAAATTATTATGCTTCCTAACTGTAAAATATGCAAACTTTACCGAGAATCCATGATTTTTAGATGAGCTTCCATCCTTATAAGTGTGGGACAGATGGCTGAGTTGGCTCAGTTTTTATTATTTTTGTTTCCTGGCGCCAACCAATTACGTACGTAAGGGTTGGTCAACTAAGGAAAGTTGTTAGGGCTTATGGCATATCGCATAAGCTATTTCACAAGTATAACTAACCTATGAATCCTAATATAAAATATTTTTCTAGTGTCTTTATCATAATAATATAAGGTTTTAAAAATGAAGCAATAAATGCAGCAAAATTTGTTTCAAATACCGTATTTTAAGGAGGCTTATTTTTTTATCAAATAACAAGCCTAACATATTTGTTTATCAAATTAAACCAAATTTAAACATTATTTAATAAAGCATATTTTCAGCGCCGTATTCCACCGACCTACTGCTTGGGGGGTATGTAGAAAGTTTTTTTATAGGAACTTGTCATGTTATTTTGCCACCTTGTATACATATCGAGCATTGACACAGTAGGAAAATAATACCGTATTATAAAGTTTAGTACAGAAATCAAAGTATCGAACAGTTGTACTCCAAAGTAACCACAATATTTCAACGCAATTTTCAACTTCAACTACTTTCACCTAGGACTTAGGTATAAGTATTTGGAAAATGTTGATCAAACCATACTAACAGTATAGTAACAGGCATAGTGTAAACAAGAATGGAATAACCATAAACAAAACTTGTTACCACCTAAAAGTTTGTCATAAATACTAAAAGAAAAAGAGAAAGTTTTTGAGCAACTAATCGAAGGGGGTCATCGTAAATAAATATTTCTTACAAGTCAGCAATGTTGTAGGGCGTTAAACTCCAGCACATGATCCCCATCACTTAGTCTAACTGAATTTACTATAATTCGCTAAATACTGAACAACGAGTTACACCAAAGATATACAATTAAGCCGTACGAAGATATAAAACGTGGACGTAGGAATCCTCCAAAAGTCTATTAAATCAAGTCACTACCTGGCGAATGTTTTTAGTGTTCACCATTAAACCATAAATGATGGAGTATGTTAGAAATATCTGTTAAGCATGTACTTACTTGAATTTAGTATATATTTTTTTGATTACTGATTTTTTTGCCTATGTTTATTAATATTACCGGCGTCCAATGAGTGTCACATAAATTGTTCAAAATGGACGATTGCCTAATGAAGTTGACAAGCACAAATTACTCGAAGAGAAGCTAAACTATCGGCCTTATTCACGAGTTCAAAAGTTCGGGCCCCCCTGGTGACTACAATTATAACTACAAGTTAAGCAGTAAGTTGACACTTGTTTTGTTGAGATTGATGTCGCAGGTTGCCGTATTTCTAATCAAACCCCAAATTTTGTTTGTTGAGTGTTTAGCTAAAGAAACAACTATTTTATTTATTTTCTATGAAAAAGAACAGGTTTTTCAACGTATTTATGACTAAGCGAAAAGTCAACTAACTTTTCTGTGTCCATTTTCTTTTCTAAAAAATATGATATTTGAAAAAATTGTATTACTTAAATTTTCTCTACAATTTATTTTTGCGCAAAATCCCATATATTTGGTTTTAACAAAATGCGTTTCTACAAAATGAAGACAAGGCAGCGTAAAAGTTAGACACAAATAAACAAATTAAATTTTACTACTACTTAAAATAAATAATTGCGCAAATGATATCGCAGAAATCTGTTATATTCAAATGAAATATAGCATCCTTGCAAACATTTAAATATATTGCTCTCACAAGAACTTATCAAATATTTTTTCATGTCTATTACAATTAGTATCAGTTGAAAATACTTTACCACAAGTCACACACAAAGCTGGCATTTTAAACTTGGTGTCTAGTAAAGACAAAATACATAATTAACTAAATATATAAATAAAAATAGTCGATTCCTTGTCTGTGTTGCCAACCATAAAGAAAGTGAAATAAGAGAGGTGGCGGTGCTGAAACTTGGAACCGCGTTGCGCCACAACCGGCTGACCGTCAATAACGGAAAGCTTTGACTGGAAAACAGGTATATAGGTTATCGGCTAGTTAGAAGCGGGAATTTTAAATTTTTAAGTGTGTAAGGACATCGAAATTGTAGCACTCAGAACGCAATATTTGGTCCAGGTTTAAGGGGATCCATGAAGGGAATGAAATAATACATACCAAAATGAAAATAAAATAAAATTTATGAATGTTATGAAATGAATACGTATTCAGTACGTATTGTATGATACACAATATGTAATATTTAAAGTTTTTAACGTGTTTAGCAGTAGATGGCTATTAGCAGTAATGTACATATTCGTTGTATTATGAATACGCTCAAATATATTCATTGTATCATTACCCTGGGTTAGATTAGAACACAGAACATACCCCAGGGGGATATTCTGTGGATTAGAAATGACAACGTAAACACCTGTCTTTAAAGACAAGGAAGTGAGCACAGACTACATACCAGAGACAAGTACTTGTACTTGTCTCTGTACATACTATTGTGAAGTGACACAAAAGACTAGGTTATGGACCATCCGCATATTTTTTCCCTAAATTTGCTTTATTTTAAGTGTACTTTAAAGGAAAATTAAAAAGGAACGCCAAAATCCGATAGACATAAAGTATATAAATATATGAGCATCTGTAGAAAGAGCAGCGAATTTTAATCAAGGTCGGATTAAAGGTAAACTTCACAATGACATTTGTTGATTTTCTAAGATTTTGTACCTAGATTGTAATGTTTTCTTTTAGGATTGTATGATAACACTCCTATGAAAACTGCTCTTTCTGATCCATTGAATCCATCATTGTTTGCTCAATTAGCAAAATCGGAATGCCCAGAAGAGGTCGAGTGAAGAAAGAAGGACCCGAATCAGGTGAGGATTCGGATGAGTATCGTAAGAGAAGGGACAAAAACAACATGGTAATAACACCATGATCATAAGTTATTATATTAAGAATTAACTGAATTATTCTGAACTTTTAGGCAGTCAAAAGGAGCCGGGTAAAGTCCAAACAAAAGACTCAAGAGACTGTGAATAGAGTCACTGAGCTAAGGAACGAGAATTATGTACTGGAGGAAAAAGTGAAGACTCTCACCAAAGAACTGAGTTTTCTGAAGGAGCTTTTTCTGGCACACGCGTCAAATAACGCAGATTCATCCAAATTTGATGGAATCAATTTCCAAAAATTATTAGAGGATAAACCGTCTGCAGGATCAAGTGCGAGTGATGACAAATAGAGGCAGGACATTACACATAATATATGCTCTCTTCATATTACTAAATGTTTGGTTTTAAATAGATATGTTTTTTACTAACTGACAAACAGTACATATTAGTTCAACTCCAAGCTGTAAACAGATTGTTTACTCTTTAAATCGCGCTCTGTTGAACTCAAACGTCAGAAAAAATAACATTTCATTTAAGAACTGGTCAAAATACGAAATAATTAGACCAGCTGAAAGATGCACGACGATTTGCTTTCATAGTTAAAGACATATTCAAAAGTGTAATTAGCAGACCTGAAGAAGCCACAAAGATGGAACTCAATATACTATACCTGTATTTTAGCATAGAACATCAAAGGATGCATTTCCGATATATGACTGTTGAATATTAAATGTTATTACTGTGGACTTTACAATTTATTTGAAAAAATTGGGGAGGAAAGGTAAAGAATACAACCAACCATAAATTCGACTTAGTTTACTAGGTTTCTACAATTGTTTTTAATGAATTGCATAATTTGGTGTAACGGTTCCCTGTCAACATTGTTATCCAAAGTATTCAATTCAAGTATAAGTTTCTTGTTTAGGCAGTTAATTGCAAACATAAACTTGTAAAAGGCATGATCACTGCTCTCAGAGTCGGTGCTGAGTCTTAACTTCTTACAAGTTGACTCGCACAGTAAATCATCAAGCGATCGTTTTGCTGCTGAACTGTCTGCAGGATCGTCAATAGTTTTCGATTCTGCTAGTTGTCCTTGTCTCAGCTTTGCTCTGAGCTTACGTCTCTGATGGGACCAAGTGTTTGAAGAAGCAGTCACAAAGTACCGAGGATGAAGTTTGTTCCTGCTCACATCTTCGCAGCTCATTTGCAGACTCTTAAATAATTGAAGGAACATAGACGTTATTTTCACAATATTTTCCGGAGTGTTTTGTTCCCCTTCCAAGTCATAAAGCAGAGGACCTCGCTGTTTATAAGACTTGGTCGCTATCTTTGCTTCCTCTGATGCTTTTCTTAAATCGTGATTCAGATAGGTCCAAGCTAAACCCCACCTGGTGGTGTTTCCTTGACAAAACTCCGCTACTTTGAAGCTGTGCACTTTAGCTTCACGCAAACACTTCTTCAAAGCAGGTAAACTGCTTTTCTGACCCACCATTGTAGTATACAGCTTAATTTGAGTTTTCAACTGCGTACTTTCAGCGATCATTTTCTGAATAAAGTCCACTTCGCCGCCTTTAGCGACAGTTTCATGTACACTTGCGACAAATGCATTCTTCGGATGCGGCCTGTTTTGTGTGCGAGCTTTGAAAAATGGATGCAGTTCTTGGGTGCTAGCAAAAAACGGTGGATTGCACATACAAAAGTCATAGACTTTATCAGCGTCCACTGCTCCTGCTAGAAAGATATCTTTTGAAACTTGAACAACTTTAACCAAATGCTGGAAACCATTTGATACTATATTTTGCTTGGCCTGCTCGAAGCTACCTGTGTCAGCTTCAGTAGCCAGCATTGACCACTGATTTTTCTGTGCCGCTATCAACGGATAGACACAAGATGCTCCAGTACCAATGTCGATCCCCTCAACGTGATCAATTCTTCCTATAAAATCCAGAAGATCTTCAATCCATAAAATGTAGTTTAACCGCAAAGGAATGGTAGGGACGAGTTTGTTAACGGGTATGCACACGTCTAAGTGGAAGTCCTTCAGCAAAAGTGTGTGGGACAGGGCCCTTAAGGCTTCAGGATCTTTAAAATCAAACTGAACTTTTCCAGTGATATCGATACGTACATGTCTTTTAAACTCTGGAAATTCTACGGCCAATTGCTTAAAGTTCGGTGGATTTTTGTAGATATTTCGTGGGTGCATGAATTTGTTCATGGACATTTTGTAAGTAAGAATGTTATAAAAAAAAAATTTTTTGGACGAAAACCGCTGTTGGAAAAAGTGTGGTTAACAAAATTGACAATTTCTACTATTGCATATGTGGCAACATGGATTGTGCAGGCTAAACGCGTCATTTATAAAATAACTGCTGCTGTTTTACGTTTATCTTGATATAAATTTATATAGAGATGTGGACAAAAAATTAAACAAATACAAACAATTGCACATTTAAATTAATATATTAAATGCAAACTTGAGGCTAGAAAATTAGTGGGCAAAGCAATTTCTAATGACCGGCTTATTCAAACATGTTTTTCTGTATACTTAGAAATTGGCGCAAACGTGTGGGATTGTACAAATACATATATACTTTATACCAGTATCAGTATAAAATTCTTGTAAATTCTATCATGTTATTCATCTTTTTTCCTTTTTTTTGTACTTTCCTCAACGCCCCCGCCCCTTTTCCGCTTGCAACCCGATTCACTTGTGCGAGTTTCTCGCCTGATCGGTGCTTCCACTTGCCCATCTGCCTGTAACAGAATGTCGATTGGATTCATCGACTCTTTTTGCATTTGTAAAGCCATGTTATAAACCGTATCTCTCGTCTTATTGAACATGATGGCATTGGTAAACATAAGCATTACATCACGTTTAAACTCGAGGGATGTGCGAATCACTCCTGTATCGATATTTTTCTTGATAGTCTGCAGATCCATGGGCCTATACACGATAGCCCGATAACCCGGTGCATGTTCTTCAGTGATAGGCTTAAAAAAGAGTGATGCATACTTATTCGAAGCCAAACGATTGTACACCAACATCATGGACTTCTTCCAGTTTCGATAGTCCTTGTCGTCGTCGTAAGCAGTGCTAGACGCAGGAGAATTAGGCATCGAGTCCATGGGGGTAGAATATCGCCGTTTTTTCAAATTCCCGTCTTCTTCTTCTGCCCATGGACTATTAGAACGCTCATTGTCCACTTTCATCAAGGGCACCATCACTGGCTCTTTTTTGTCAGAGAAATCGTCGTTGTCCAGATGAGGTTTTTCAATACCGATCAGCATATCGAAGTTCTTGTCGTCTCTCTTTTTAGTGCGTGAATAATCCCGCTTTGTTTTGCCCGTTTTGTCGATTTTCACCTCCATATTGACATTATCATATAGATCATCTTCATACTCGGGAGCAGTTTCGCTCTGTGATAAATTTGTTGTTTCTGAACTGGATTCGTCGGTTTTCGGCAACTCGCAGCAACTTGACTTTAACTCTTCTTGAGTTTCTAAGGCCGGCTGTTCATCAGCTGGAGCATCTGTTTGAGCTATACATTCTTTATCCTCCTCTACAACATTCGCTTTTTCTGAAACATTCTCTTGGGTCGATATGGGTTTGGTGTCATTTTCTTCGTATTGGGCTGCATCAGTACTGATGGGGCAGTCACTAGCGATTTTTTGCACCTCTTCCACAACAGTTTTGTCTGTAACTACATCGAAAGAAGATTGCGGATTTAAAGAATTATTCCTACTCTCAGCCGATTCCGTTGCTTTAACTTTGTCCGTTTCTTCGACCTTCACTGGCGAAGACTGCTGGTACAGCGGGAGATATTGGCCTTCTTGTTTTACTGTTTTCACTGGCGATTCAAACATTATCGGATCTTCCTGAAACTCGAAAGGGTCCACGACTGGGGGAACCTCTACTGGGGGTTCTGGCTTGACTGGGCAGGACGCATCCTTCATGGTCTCTTCTTGTTCCAGTTCATCCAATTCCAAATTAATGTTAATATCTCCATTCCCGTCGAGCTGCAAATGCTGCTCCGGATCAGACACAATGTCATGATTGTTTTCGATTATTTCCGAAATAATATCATCGACTTCTTCTTTTTTAATCTCAGGGAATGGCCCATCCTGCACCAGAATACTTTTAGCTAAATCGTCAATTTTCAAATTGTTGTCATCTAAAATATCAGCATTTAAGGGCTGACTGCAATCGTCCGATTGGTTTTGAGTAAACGATATGGCACTTGAATGCAACAGACTGGTAATGGTCGGACTGGAATGGCTGCTACTCACTTCCGGCAATTTATTGCTCTGTTGAGTGATGGCAGTATGCAAAATAGATGAAGTGGAGATGGGAACTTGTGAGGGTGACTTTAACAGGCTGGTTAATAGCGGCGACAGAGCAGGTTTGGCCGGCTCGGGCGGTTGCTGAATCTCCGCGGAAAACTGGGAGGGTTTCTGTGGTCGTTGAAGGTTCATGTACTGGGAGACACCAATTTCTTGCTCCAAAAAGTCATCAACAGGGGATTTACGTTTTTGACTAGAGAGGGAAACTGAGGACGGTTTGGTCAATCTCCATGCTCGTTCTATCTCTTGCTTCCGCAAATCTCGCTGTTTCAGCCATTTCACACGATTCGATGTCTCTTCTTCCCTTTTTGATTCTTCTTCGTCAATTTCTTTACACCATTTGTCCAGCTGTTCTTCTGACAACTTTCCTATTCAAATATTAAACTGTAGTCGCTTATGTGTTGAAATCAGGGTGATGCAAAAATTAACGGGGTTGTTCAACCTTATTTATGCTTAAAGCTGCATCCCACAATTGATACCTATATCAAGTAGCTCTCAGTGTTATAGTACTCACCTGACTGCATCTGCTTCATATCGTCTTGCAATCTGTTATACTCGGCTTTTTCTTCAGCCAGCAGCTCTCTGAGTTGGTTCTGTCTTTCAGACAATAGTCGCCTCAGGATGCATTCGACAGGGGTTTCCATAATGGTCTCGTTACCCGATCGCTTCTTCCGCTTAGGCGTTTCAACGTGAGAGAGCAGAGCTCCATATTGGGCGGCACAGTTTTTCTGATGAAACCAGTCTAAAGGCCGATTGCTATCGCCGAATGGTTTGAGTGCTCGACTGACGGACATCCAATTCTGGTCTCCACTTCGCGAAACTGCTGAAGCCAAGCATAGCTGCTCGCGAACAGACCATTTGTCTAAAGGCTCACGTTTCAATTGGAGCCGCTCTTGGATTGACGATACATTCATTTTGTAGTTAATGGTACTGGACGGCCTAACGAGACAGATATAGATAAGCTATAAATTTCGTGTTCGTTGCTATCTGCGTACTAGCCAAAGGCAAAATAAAAAATAGTCTAAGCAGTACTCACCCGTTAACCTACACGTTGCGTGGACTCAATGGCAGTCAAGTTCTGCTGCTTATGCGCTTAGTGGGGTGACTCTGATACCTTCTATTCTATTCATGTATAGCACGTTGTATTTACAAACACTTATTATTATAAAGTAATCCAAACAAATGGGCATACCGTCATTTGTCGATTTAATGTCAACAATGATCCGATGCTGCCAGTGCTGACACTTTTTAATAGGCGACGCTAAAAAGCAAAATCCTTGTAACCATGATACAATAAATACAATACATGGATTCATTCATTGTATCATGCTTGTAACCTTCTGGGAACATTATAACCAACTATATACAAATACTTTAGTACTTGTTTGTAACTGGAGTTCTTGCATGTAACCTGCCAAAGAATAAAAGTGGGGTTAGATTATAAATGACCCAATCCCGGTAAACGGCAACGTTGGAGTGTCCTTTGTTTAGCTCCTCCTCTCAGAGGCATTGATGTCAGTTATTGCACGCTTGAACAGAATGTGTAAATAATGTGTGCTCCTTCTCTTTCAGGTTTGGGCTTCTAAAGCAAGACAAAGCGTGATCCAAGACGACACAAAACGCCCTAACGACTGCGTTATGAGCAGTCTGGCTATTCAGCTTAAGTTTCACAGACAACGGAATCTGGTATATGTAAAAATCAAAAATGTCAGCGACAGATAAAGAAAACGAAGACGACGAACATGTTCTAGGACCAATTCAACAAGATTGGGGAAATCGAGAATATATCGAGGTAGTCAGCATTAGCATTAAGAAAATTACCGATTTTCTGAACTCCTTTGGTAAGTTTCTCCAAAGCGCGCCTTTCAGCAAGGTGGCAATTTGTCTTGTTTTCAGACCTGTCTTGTCGCTCCAAACTGGCTGGATTAAACGAAAAACTCACAATTTTGGAGAGAAAAATCGATTATTTAGAGGCCTGTGTAAGTTCGCTCACCCTATTCTGCAATACTTCCCTAATTTAATGAGCATTTCAGGTTACCAAAGGTGAAACGCTTACATGAAAATATCCCTCAACCTACACATTTTCTTTCTAATCCAACACCTGCTACCAAATGGCACTGACATCTTCCTTGACCACTTGCAAAAACATTATATACAACTTCTCAAAAAGCTCGCTATTTCACTGGGTAAACCTGCAGTTCAATGTCGTGGATGAGGAACGGCGAAAGATTGTAGGCCCTGACCGTAGTTGTGCCGAGTGGATATTACGCAACGGAGGCAAAGTAAAATGGGCTAATACTACAGAATTCGAGGCAGACTACAATCAACTACCAAAAGAAGAAGTTTCCTTAAAACTGCAGGAAATTGATGCGACCGGAAGCACTATAATGACCAATGGTTTTGAACATCTCAAGGACTGCAAACACCTCAACAAATTCATTTTAGACGAGTGCTCCTATCTAGAAAACCCTGCCCTAAAGGAGCTTCATTACGTGCGGGATAGTTTGCTGTTTTTACAAGTGTCTAGGTGTGGCAATATTACCGAAACAGGACTTTTACATTTAGTCAGCTTGCAAAAGTTGAAAACTTTAATCATTTTCGGGCTACCCTACGTCAAGGAAAGGATTAAGATATTGGACACTCTAAAGAACGACATGAAACAATGTGAAGTTACTTTTAATGAGTAGGTTTTTAGAATGTAGGTGGAATTAGCGTAAATACAATAGTCATCCTATTCCAATTTAAAAAATATATATTTACACAGTTCCTACAGATCAAATGCTAATCCAGAAAGTCCCTTTACCTTTCGAATTTTTAATTGAAGCTTTACACTCGTCATAAAAGGAGCCATCCGCAAAATGCCTGCTTGCAGGTCGACCTTTGACCTTCACGTCCTTTAAAACTGGAATCGGAGGATTAAAGGCCATTTCGGACATATCAAACTCCGAATACAATTGCTCAATAGTCCTGCAATGGAATAGAATTGGCCAATTTAACCGTCACTCTTCAAATACTTTGATGGGCTTACATTTTCCCATATTCCAGAGGTAAGCTGCCGTCTCCAGTTGCTGGCACCCCACTAGCGATATTTCTGGCAAGCTTCTTCACCACCGGGTGATAATGTCTGGACAATAAAACCGTTTCAAAAAGTGCAGTGTTGGAAGCATTGGCAAACTCTGGATCGGCGATCTCCGGTTGGTACTTCCCTTCACCCACTGAGGTGTCCAAATCCAGCAGAATATCCACTGAACGATTGAGCTGCATCAGGGTCTTAATTAGCCCTAGACACCCCAATGATCTAAAAACCCCCAATAAGAAAAGCCTTCCAATTTCTTACTATTCACTTACCCATGGTGCAACAGCTGCAAACTCAAAGTCGCCAGTCGCTTAACAAAGTTAATAATCCTTTTATTAGTAATCTTCTTTCTCCGCTTAATTAATGCATCTATTAAGGTTTTTAATACTGTGAAAGCGTTATCATGGTTTCTTCCTGCATTTGTTGTCAAGAGGTCCTTGTATAAATGAATGTAAAACCTGCTAGGGTCAATGTTGATTCCTTCTCCTTGTCCACTCAGCATAATAAAAATTGTTTGTATACAATGAAGCTGCTCCTTGTATCCTAACCAGTCTTCATTCAGCAAGAAGCTGAGTACATTCACTATGTCAACATAGTACTCCAAGTTGATGCAATGAGCAAATCTAAAACATTCTCTTTGGTAACTTTGACCTGGAATTTTTCTGTTTTACATACTTCGTAAGTCCTTCTAAGCAGACGCTCAACATCTTGCGGTTTTCAGAGTTCTTTAATATACGAAAGTAAATGTTGAAGATGATCTTGGTGATTTCGGTCAGATTCTGGTGCTTCACCTGCTTGCTCTCTTCCGCCTTGGTTTCCAACATTTCCTTCTCCAGCTCCTGTAGCTTTTTCTTTCTCTACAACGGTAAACGTAATTTGATCACAATTCACGATCATTTTTTCATTAGTACCTTTCGTTCTTTTTTGGACATTTGCAGGATTCGCGCTCTCTTCGCCTGAAGCTTTTTATTCTTCACATCTTGCTCTTTCTCCTGGTCCAGATTGACATCCTTGAGATTTAGAACCAGGAGAATTTCCAGCATCTCGACGTGAATCGTATGCGAGTGAGTCTTTAGGAAGTTATTCAACAGCCGTAAAACCTGCAAAATGATTTAGATTTATAATAATTGTATTTAATAGTCAGTGCAATACCTGCCTTCAGAGTGATTTCCTCTTTTTTGTCCTCTTTGAAAACACCGCAAATAGTGTTCTTGACGACATCTCTTATGTGTTTTCTAGGATTGTTCAAAAACGGCACTAGGACTTGAGCAATATTTTGTCCATAGTTGAAGTAGGGATGAGCTGAGAACAAGTCGCACATCGCATGGACCGACAACTCTGATACCTCGACGTCTTTCTAAAACATCACAGATCATGTGACAATAGCAACAGCTTTACTACTTCTACAAACCTCTGAAATCTGCCGGCTGTCGCCCTTCTTTTTCACCAACATAAAGCAATACTTTTCCAGTTTGAGCAGGAATTTTTTGTAGTAAAGCAGCAAGTTTTCTTCATATTTTTGTAGCTTCAAAGTGTCTTTTTTTACTGGAAGACGGAATTTATTAAAAAAATTGCTTTCCAAAAACCAGTGTTATACTAACGCTTGACTCCATCGGGATTAACATTTTTTAGCTCATAGTCTGGCAATATGTCTTTGAAAACTTCCACTAAAGACACAATAACCAGCTTCCTAACGGTAAAAAACACTTCTGGGGTTTCATCATCCATGAGCGTCAACAACGTTCTGAGGTTGGTGACTTTTTCTTCGGGATTTTCCAACAAACCTGCACAGACAAATATTGACTTGTTTTCCAGTGGATAAAACCAACAACAAAATTACCAGAACTGAGTGTGCCGATATGGATCTTCTTTTGCCTCAGGGTTTCGCTTCTTGCTGCTATGAGCTGAGCAGCTGATATCGGCTTAGTTAAGTCAATCTCAGTCTGATGCAAAGTGAATTCTTCCTCCTCGACGTCTGATTGCTCATTTTCATCGTAATTCTCATCTTGTTCATTTTCTTCCTCTTCTGCAATTCAGAATTTGTTTTTCGCTCTAAGATTTAAAGCAACCGCACAAATTACCTGGAATGTCTACGACAATCTCTCTTTCCACTAGGCCCCGCTGGGTTTTTATTGGAAGTCGGGCTTTGACCCTTTTAGTGCTGGTATCTTCAATCTGGTTCTCATATTCAGTTTCCAACGTTTCATTATCTTCATTCAATTTCCTTTTTTTAGCTTTGCTGGTCAACGGCCTGGAGATACAGAAATATTAGTGGCTATCGTCAATATCAGACCTTTTTTATTTGGGCTTTACCCGGAATATTTCACTTTATTTAAAATCCCATAACTCCTATTGGTAATAGCCTGTTTCAAGAATTCCAAATCGTCCTTTTCGACCATTTGAAGCATGTCTTCCCCATGATCACTCTCCTCTTCAGACACATCATCGTTGCTGGGTTTTTTCAACACTTTAGGCGGAAGCTCACGCTGGATTTTCAATTTCTTGGCCCCCTTCTTTATAACGCCCTGCTTCACTAGCTTGTTCTTTTTCTGGTTGTTTCGTTTTGCTTTGGAGATTTTGTGTTTCTGATAGGAAAGAGCACGAATAATCGTATGCACTAAAGATGATTTTGATGCAGAATTAATTTATATTCAATAAATGTGGCGGCGCGTCGATTAGTACATTGAAAGTGCACAATCTTGGAACATCGGCGGAGGCAAAATTTTAACACGAATTGAAAAATTCTGCCATTCTCGTATTTTGCGAAGTTAAAATACTTAGAAACACAATGACAAATGTATATGCTAAATGTGCACAATGGCCAGCTGAAAACATCGAAATGTTTTTAATTATTATAGTCCGAACAACTCGTTTATCCGAACAGTGCGGGCCAACTTCCAAAGTGTTTGTCCTTCAATGTTAGGCGAAATTTTAAGAAATAAATTCATTTTTAAAAATTAAACTTAAGAACATAAATTTAACACCAATATGGGATTTGACAAAGGGGCAAACAATTAGCCATTGACGAAAGAGCCGTAGAGCCAGTCCGGGAAATGCAGTCGTTGCACCAAATCTATAATGAACACAAAAGTGGCCTTTCTTGGAAATTACTGCCTCAAAATACACTTGCTGATCAATCTGAGGCATCAGCCCCAAGTAGAAAAACGATCAAGGGGAGAATTACATACAAGTATGCTTTGTTCAAACGCCCCTGAGACTAGTCTTTCTCAAAACGTGCTTGTACTTCAATAGAACAAGACGATAGATGAGAAGAGAGACGTGTGCTGAAAACATCCAGCTCTTATAAAAATATTGAAATGAGAAATTTAGGGAAAGCCAGGTGGCTTCGTAATATATAGCTAAGAACTTCAACTAGGTCTTCAAGGCCTATAATCTGCCCGAATTTGCTAATTTCATATTAAATAACATGTAGGACACTCACCACACTCATCGTGCGATTTTTATCTATCACAGTTGCTGCTGAATGTTTCAAATTAGGCACTAGTTAATTAAATAAAAATATTATTTTGAATTCGATAAGCACACTGCCAAATGTTAGGTTAGTATAGTACAAAATTGGGTTAAGTATTGCTATCTTCTTATCCGGGGTGAAATGAATCAATCAATCAATCAATCGTTGCAAAACATCTCTGACGTCAGAAGTAGCTTCCTAATAATTTTTTTAACTCAGTTGACCAGGTAAAAAAGCAAGATTTCAAGCATTTGAAGCACTAAAATTAAAAACATTTTAAATTTGAAAAAAAATATAATTTTTTATGCTGATTTTTTTAAATTTCCCAATAGCTTCATTTTCACAATTAAATACTTGTTGCAACTAGGACCGCAAAATCACCTTTTATTGACGGCTCGCGTCAACCGTCAACCAAAATGTCAAACGGACGAACGTTAGGACAATATGACGTGAAAATCACGTAATTTAGGTGTGAGGTCAAGAATTTAAACCGATTTTTTTTGCTTGTCCGATTTATAATAACAATATATATCCCAATATACATATATTTTGGATTATTATGATATTTTGGAGAAAAAGCACGCTAATCGCGGACTTTTTTAAACAGTAGCACCGAACAAAGAATTTTCCCTTTCTTAGACTTGCAAAATTTAATGAAAATCACCAATAACAAAAACCATTCCGGGAGATTTCCCCGCTTCGATTGGATTACGTGTCTGTCCTCAATCCAATCTTACCTTATAAGAGCATCAATGGTACCAGCCGAAGTGCTTGTGTGCGTTCAGGTTTTTTATGGTACTGAAAGTGGGCCGATGTACCCACTCAAGGTGATTGTCATGGGTCTGCAAGCAATATAATTTCTTTAGTGTTTGATATGGATTTTCTGCAGGTTGGACTATGGGGGCAGGGTACCGTAAACGGTAAAAAGGCGCATTCGTCTATCTAATTTTATCCATAGAGGCGTTTCCAGGTTTCTAATTATACGCTCAAGCCGATGGAAGGGCTCTTTAAAATAGACCCGCAGGAATGCTTCTTGTGTGTGTGATCAAAATAAAAACAAGTTTTTTATGCTTTCCAGTCAACCCAAAGGTGACTGGATTGTGAAATTTCCTTGTTAATGTACATGGAACAATTATATCATAAAACACGCGTTGATTAGCTTTCATTGAGGTACTTGTGACGAACATTATCTTTTCCGAAGATAACAATATCAATCAAAATTTATCACTGAGAAGTGTGCATGACTAGCACCCAGGCTCAGTAAATAGTCATACTAATTCAATGAAACAAGTGACTATTTATAGTAAAACTGTAGAAGAAATTTGTCAAAATGAGTTTCAAGCTTTCCCAATGCAAGGTGAGTTTCTAGGATTATTAACTAAGATTAGCAGTGATTCGGAACGTTTGTCGCGATAAATTGAAAAATGTGCGACTGAAATCGTTCAATGAGCGGAAGCATGGCTTTAAAAGGCCGAAATGAGTCACTGTGCATGGTAAAACTACTGCAGACCGATCGATAAAACCCCTACAAATTGAATGTATTGACTGGCTATGAACGAAAAACATACTAAATTTGCTGAAAAAAGCTTGTAAATGGAATGAAACTTGACAGAAATCACCAATTAATAAACAGTCCAATCAGCAAGCTTGATAATGAAAAGCATCAGTGAGAAAAAACAAGTTTATGAAACATGTGTGAAACTTTGGCCTGATCAAAGCCAGCCCTGGAAAATCAACAAGGCAAACGCCGCAACATCCGTTACCCATGCTCCCCTCGACCAATCAGCGGCCAGCACGAAGGCGTCGGCCGGCTGACGTCACGGATTCTATAAAACCAGCGACCGGCGATTGCAGCTCTCAGAAAATTTAGACCATTTAGAAGCTCCATTAGTCGCTTTCTAAAGGGTTACTTTACAAATTTCTATTTCTTGTTAGTGAGTGAAGCAGAACTAAAGCAACAAAATGGTAAGTTGACGATCAGAGTAAAGGTTTTGTGGCTGGCAAAGGTTTAATTTTGTTCATTAATGTGATTAACTGCTTGGATTGCCGGGTGTACCGGCCATTTTGGACGCCCAGCCCTTAAGTTCGATTTTTCGAGTTGCTGTTGGTTCATTTGCATTTGCTTGGGTTGATAGGTTTATTTTCGTCAAGATTACCTGCCAGCACTGTTCAAAGGGTCGTTTCGGAAAGTCCGATGGTCCAACGTGGCTTAACGGCTTTGATCGGCCATCTTTAAACCGGCGTTTCTTGCAGCTTTCATGCGCTTTCCATTTCCCCATTTTTAACGGTTGTTCGTTCGAGAATGTTCGTTAATTATTCTCAACTCAGTCAGTTCCATAAATAGGCTTGTGAGATCATTCCGCAGATGGCAATCTCTAAGCACTAGCGATTAGGATGACTCAAACTCTTCATGGGCGTGCACATTTTTAATTTGCCTAAACTTTATTTTTTGTTTTGAGTATAATTTTTCTGGTACCTTGGATGTATGAAAGCTGTAGCTGCTGTTGCACACTTTCTGGTATTTTTTTCATTCTTTTGATGTTGGATGTGATTTTTCCAAGTTTATTCTCGTGCAGTGTGATGTTTTTTACAACCCAACGACACTTTCCCGTCAATAATGACAGCTGTACCCACTACGCAACGGGCATTGAACTCAGAAATCAATAGTTTTCACCAGTGTTGCCAAGCCTCCATCAAAATAGCAAATCATCAGAAAAACGGAAAACTTCAGTGCAAACGCTCGCTGGCATCAAAGTTAGAAACTACACTAGTAACATTTGCCATGGTAATGCTCTACGGTACGATCTGGTACTAGGATTGCTGATTAAGACTGCTCACCTTATAGCAAATCTCGTAATAAACAACATTTTTCGACCTAATGCCGTTTTCCAGGACTTTTCACCCTCTGAAATTCATCAATTTCCATAACAAAACTGGTCGCCATGATGGTTCAGCTCGTTGCGTCGGCGCGTCAATCAAATTTTTTCGCGTAGTTGACAGTACTATATTAGCACTTTCTTAACATTACCACTTCCTTCCTGTTCATGTACACATCATTTAATATACTTAACTATTTAATATAAAATAGGTAGTCATTAGTAATACCCAGATGATATATTTTCACCACTTTTCCGATTCTCGTCATTAATTAACCGATTAAGAACTCACGCATTCATGGACATCCATAGAGAAACCAAACCTGAAAATACTTTATTTTAATTTTCTTTGCATGCATACGCAATTAATTTGATACTTCAAACGGCTGGCTGCAATCAACTGGGTCCCGGCTAAATTACGCGCACAATCATATGTATGAGCTTATCAGTTTCGTCTACTATTTCCTGTATGGACGTAACTCTGCTAAGTTTTCAACCTTGAATGAATTACTTTTTTGTTTTCATTGAAATTTTCTACTTTGGTGGCAGTTCGGCAACATGGCTGACCAGTATGCAATGTTTGGCTGCGCGTGCCACAGCAGATCGTACCGTAAAGCATTACCGAAGGTTTCCTTGTCCTTGTCTTTCTGTACGTTGTTAATTTTAACGGAGGAACTAATTGGTGGGTTTTTGTTTTCAGCGTGAATGTATCTCAGTTCATGTTGGCCAAGCTGGTGTACAGATAGGAAACGCCTGTTGGGAACTATATTGTCTCGAACATGGAATTCAACCTGATGGTCAGATGCCCTCAGACAAGAGCGTCGGAGGAGGTGATGACAGCTTCAACACTTTCTTCAGTGAAACTGGTGCCGGAAAGCACGTGCCCAGGGCCGTGTTTGTGGACTTGGAACCCACTGTCGTAGACGAAGTGAGAACCGGCACCTACAGACAACTGTTCCACCCCGAGCAGTTGATCACCGGAAAGGAAGACGCTGCCAATAACTACGCCAGAGGTCACTACACCATTGGAAAGGAAATCGTCGACTTGGTTTTGGACAGGATCAGGAAATTGGCCGATCAATGCACTGGCCTGCAAGGTTTCCTCATCTTCCACTCCTTCGGCGGAGGCACTGGATCCGGATTCACCTCCCTGTTGATGGAGCGTCTGTCTGTGGACTACGGAAAGAAGTCCAAGCTGGAATTCGCCATCTACCCAGCCCCACAAGTATCCACTGCTGTAGTCGAACCCTACAACTCCATTTTGACCACCCACACCACCCTGGAACATTCCGATTGTGCCTTTATGGTTGACAATGAGGCTATTTATGATATCTGCAGACGCAACTTGGATATTGAACGCCCCACATACACAAACTTGAACAGACTGATCGGTCAAATTGTTTCATCCATCACTGCTTCTTTGAGGTTCGATGGTGCCTTGAACGTGGACCTAACAGAATTCCAAACCAATTTGGTCCCATACCCAAGGATCCACTTCCCCTTGGTAACCTATGCTCCCGTTATCTCCGCAGAGAAGGCTTACCATGAGCAATTGTCCGTTGCCGAGATTACCAACGCTTGTTTCGAGCCCGCCAACCAGATGGTAAAATGCGACCCCCGTCATGGCAAATACATGGCCTGTTGCATGTTGTACCGAGGAGACGTTGTCCCTAAGGATGTGAATGCCGCCATCGCGACCATCAAGACCAAGCGCACCATCCAATTCGTCGACTGGTGTCCTACTGGTTTCAAGGTGGGAATCAACTACCAACCACCTACGGTGGTTCCTGGCGGCGATCTCGCCAAAGTGCAACGTGCTGTATGCATGTTGTCCAACACCACTGCCATTGCCGAGGCTTGGGCTAGGCTCGACCACAAGTTCGACCTCATGTACGCTAAGCGCGCCTTTGTCCACTGGTATGTTGGAGAAGGTATGGAGGAAGGAGAGTTCTCCGAAGCCCGTGAGGATTTGGCCGCTTTGGAGAAGGACTACGAGGAAGTTGGCATGGACTCCGGAGAGGGAGAAGGCGAAGGCGCCGAAGAGTACTGAGAAGAGAGTGGATGATTAACCATTTGCGTACATGCAAGTGTTTTTTTGTACTTCTCTGTGTGCGTTTTCACTTAAAAAGAACAGGGAAACTATAAACTAAAAAAGGTTTTCCTATTTTTTTAAACTGTTTACTCATACAATACAATCTTTAAGCACTTGATTTAGGTGTTTTATTTATGTGCATCTACAGCAACGGTCTCTGGTTAAACATTATTTAAAGAATTTGAAAACCGCTCCGATTCATTAATAGTAGGGAAAAGTTTATTTGCCTAAATATCCGGTAAAAAATCCATAAACCAATACATGGAAACTGAGGTAGCAATTAATGAGTAGGCCTAAGCAGAAGCAAATAGCTCTGGCTGGCTGCGGTATCACGTAGAGGGCATAGACTAAAGAATGAAGAGTTCTGGCGATGAGAAATAGGTAGAAGAGGAGATGTACTGCCCAATTCGCGACGCCAACAAAGAGGTAAGCCAGGCTGATGAACAGGAAAGCCGGAATGTTCTCCAAGTCGTTCTGAAATGCTCTGAAAAAACGAAGTTTTTCCTGCTTAATTAATTCTCTATGCTTACCTTCTGACCCTTTCAACGTCTGGGTGAGTACCCACGGAACCTCCATCTCCTCTCATTTTCGTGTCTTCCTCACTTATAAAAACCTATTAAATTCTTAGTACCAACTCCTGCTTGGATATACTCATGGTCTTACCTTGTTCTTTTGCCGGTGGAAAATGGTAAGTAGAATCAATCCGTACATCTTCAAGATCAACAACGAAGCGACTATCAAATAGGTGGCAAATTGGGGATTGTTGATAGTGAGAACTCCAACTACTTCACCATTCTTCGAGGTGATATTCGATAGAATATCTGCCATGTTTTTTCACAAATACAAAGCTGGAACGAATCGATAAAAACACCGTATGCGACCACCTCACTGCTAGCGGACAAAATTACGACAATTTAAAGGAGAAAAGCGAAATGCGCGAGAAAGCCTCAGTTTTCAATTAAAAAAATCGATTGGCTCCGCCAATAATATTTATAAATCATTCGACCTACTTGTTCTGTGCAGTCTCAACAAGGTGCAAATTCGAATATTTTGTAAATGACGACAGCAACGGTGTGCATCAGGTTTCGATCGGAAAAACTGGTTTTTACTTCCAATTAATTTATAAATACCGAAATAATAGTAGGAACTTTAAACCGGAAAGTTACGAAATGTTTCTTTACCACGCTTTTAACATCAAGAAATGTTTCTGAGAATTTTGCCGACACGATTTTTTAAAATCTGACTATTTTTTGGACCAGATAATCGTACATTTGTTGCCAAAAAAAATCAGTTATTATTTACCGATCAAGGAAGAATGAGAATACTCGAATCCCCACTAATTACATTCTGAGATATTTTGTTTTAAGCGAGTATAGGATAGCTGATATGGGAAAGGGCAGATCTGGAGACTTTCAGGCAACCCCATCATAGATAAAGACGAGTCATCTCCGGTTTCGAGCCTATTAGCTCTCATCAGCTAGGTTTAGCCACAAAATATCCCCCCGGGGGTATGTTCTGTGGGTTTAGCCTGGAAACAACACTCCCGAAACTTGTTCTTCTGTTTTGCCCACGCATTTTTCAAACTGCACTTTGAACATCGGTGTGAAATGTAAAACTCTATTAAGGCTCTGAGTTAAAAAACTCAAATAACCAACTGAAAATATATCTATATTTAAATAAGGAATTCGTGAAACGAATTTGTGTCACAGCCGTTGAATCCTGGAATGATTCAACCGATCTAAAACTCGGTCCTCAAGCTGGGCGTTGATGCCTCAAGTTAGCCCTACTCGTGTGGGGGCCTTATCTAGCAAAACCTCCATACAGCATCTGTTGAGTCATTTTTTCCCCATCAAGCGTACCGTCGATCTTTTCACAATTCTTATTGAACACTGAATAGGCACTGATTTCATTCGCCTTTTTGGGTCCAGTTCTGGTGTTCAAGAAAATTCCCATCAAGCCTGACACTATCAGGAACACTGTGCCAAACTGTAGCTGAATGAAAAGGGCATACGTAGTCACCCAGAGCAAGAAATATAATAGGTATCGCACGTAGTCAATAGTGGTAAAGGGTTGAGGCTCTTCGGGCTCTGAGCAGCAATCTTCAGGTTCATCGAGAGGAGAGGCGACCTCCAAAAGCGACCTGCTGGTTTCCTGCAAAAGACACCATCTTAAACGAGTGCCTGCGGGCTCGGGACCTAACTTACCTCAGAGGGGTCAGGGAGCTCAGGTTCGTCCTTCTTTGAAAGAAAAGATGGTAACATATTTTTGACCCGCGCCTTGTAATGATTGATCAGTGCTTCTCGTTTCTTTCTCGCCCTGTATGCAGCCAGCTTCTTTTCCGTTTCATGAACAAGCATGACAATAGATTGATTCTATGGAATTTCCATAAAACACCAACAGGAAATATTTTCATAACACTCAAACCTCAAACAAGATAAATAACCCCACTGTTTGCCAACATGACAAAACATGACAACATGTACAAAAGTCCCAGTGGACCTATTCTGCATGAGAATATAAAATTGCAATAACTGGTCTGAAATTTAAATGAAAAAATTAAAGTCTCGATCTGAAAAACACAAATTTCGAAAAATAAATTGTTTTTAAATAATTTTCGTATGTGTGCGAGTGAGAACCAAAGCCTACCTAGCGCTGTCAAATTAACAGATGACAGCCAAGCGTGCATTTTTGACATTCAAATTTGGTTAGAATAATCGTGTTTGGTGATAAATGTTCAAGTACTCAAACATTTCCTTAATTTACCGAAGCTCTTATTGAAAGCCATTTCGAAATAGCTGACAAATCACTGAAAATGGGTACTGAAATTCTAAAATCCTTCAGCCACCTGCAGAACGAGCTGGAAGAGGCCAGGAATAGCCTCAAAGGTGTGGATGAGAATATCAAGCGGTTAATAGGAAGGGCTCCTAATGAGATGCCCCCACGGCCTGGCCAAAAGCGGCCTTTGGACGACAAGGTTTCCAGACAGCCATTTAACAAGTTCAGCAACAGAGATGATCAGGCCAATAAGCGAAGGAACTTTAATAATGTGTCTGTGTTTAAACGGTTGTCAGAGAAGGTGCCCGATGAAGATGTGAAAGCCCCGACCAGGGGCCTGATTAGTAAGGTTATTGCGGCGCCCAAGGAAGTTCCCAGCAGGCAAGCGGTGCTGGACAAACAAAATAAAGACGAAAAATTCAAGGCAAGAAACAGGAGGATGTTTGGTGCTCTGATGGGCACGCTACAAAGGTTTCAACAGGAGGAATCTAAATTAAAGAAACGGGTAAGTATTCTGTTGAGTTTAGAGAAGAATTGGTTACTCAACGGTTTCCGTTGCAGGAGGAAAAGAGGACACAAATTGAAAAAAAAATTGAAGAACATGAACAGCAAGAAAAAGCGGAAATTAAAAAAGAAAGACAGGAGCTGTTTATGAACCGCAAGAAGAAGCAGCAGGAAATCAAGATGATTGAACTCAAAATGCTTAGAATGAAAGAGTACGCTGCCTGGGAGGCGTCCCAAAAACCCAGAAGCAACTTCATTACCACGAAGGCTAAGCCCCACATTCATTATTTGCCTAGAAAGGTAAACGACAAGACCAAGGAACTGCTTGAAAAATCTAAGAAAGATGTTGAAGGTAAGTGGCAAAATCCCCTGTTTGAATGATGTATTCACATATTTTCCTTTGATACATTTCTAGAGCAAATTGAGAAACGGAAACAAGCAGTATGTGAAGAACTAGCGCACATTGAAGATCGCATGAAAAGGAATTTCGAGCCTAGATCCAACCTGGAAGTGAAGGAGCCAGAAAAGACCAGCGATTGGCACGACAGACATGGCAGTGAGAGTGAAATGGATGACGATATGGACTTAAAACCTAAATCTCCATCACCCGAACCAAAGGACGAAGCAGAAGATGTTGAACTTTTGCAGAAACCAGAAGACCAATCAACAGCAACAGAGGACAGTGAACAACTCCATCAAACAACAGACTTATGTGCTAACGGTGTATCGGAAATCGAGGTGCAAAGTCAAGAGGTTACTGTAGACAATCTAGAGAACATTAACATTGAAACTGATGTTTGCATGGATAATGTTCAGGAAGTTCAAAGTGACGAAGTCTTGGCAAAGGAGATTCAGGAAAACGACGAGGAGAACATTTGACATACTGAGTACAAATCCATTAACATTAGGATTTCGAGGTTTTCTTAAGAGGTCTTTTTGCAGTGTTTCAGTTCGTTTGTTAATTAAAAAGTGCACATCTGCTGGTTGAAAGGAACATAACTGTGTATAATATAAAAGGTAAATACGGTCAAATGGCAAATATTGAAAACGATATTTCCCTGTGTATGTATGTACGGACAATGCTGCTGGATGTTTTAAATAAATCTTTTCCGATTCATCGAAATAATCACAATTATTTCGATAGAAAATAGCAAACAATCATTTATTTCTAATAAAAAAACGGACTTAAAAAGAATGACATCCTTTGTAAATCCTTAAAAATGTACAGGCTTAGGTATATACAGAATAGAATGCAACATAATTGATTGATTTTTCCATTTATTTCGTTTTAAAATTTGTTTCCTAAATACCTCATAATCTGGCCGCCACTAGAACTTTTCTGGACAATCGCATCAAACCTGAGACCGGGTCTCTTCCAAAATACTTCACCTGCAGTTCTTGTCCGACTTCTAAACCCAAAGCGGATGGATGTCCAACCTAAGTTGAAATTATTACAATGCATTCTGAACTTGTGATTTAAAATAAAGAACATACTTTTCGGGTGTCTAGCTGGGAATTGTGGAGCAGGGCTGGAGGCATACCGGCGTAGAGTGTTACCATCACACCAATATCCCTTACCTAAAGGAAAATACGCATGTTTTACTATTTTACGTGGGATTTCAACAAAATGTTCATTTACCTCTACAATTGTTGCTTTGTAAATTTCGCCAAACTCCAAGGCAGGCACCCGCTCGGTTGTTAAATATTTTTGAATGATTTCCTTCGCTTCCTCCAAAGCAGCTTGATTAGGCGCGAATATTTGAAACGTTGTGTCCTCCATTTGAGACACCTAGAAAAAAAGCTGCACTTTGAAGTTTCCCATTTCCATTCCCTCACCTGCACCCCTGTTTCCGCGAACAGTTTCTTCAAGTTAATGCCACCAACGCCTAAAAGTTTTGCGCGTTTATGGGGCTCCACTTCCAGATCCTCCACCACTGGCCAGTTGTCTTTCTTTTCCGTCCTCGGTTGCTGTATGCATTGGTTCATTATTTGCAGAATTTTCCTCTTGGCGTCCGCAGCCTTCTGCAGCGCTTCCATCACAATTTTCAGTGGAAGCCCGGGGATTTTAATATCCGCCTGCAAAGCGGTTACGCCCTTCATATTGCCAGCAACTAAAATTATTCGTAGTTTATCCACCGCCTATAAAGAGCGTAAAATGTTACTTTTGAAGTCCAAATCGCCCATATAATCTTCTATACCGAGCAGATCAGTCAGTAGTCTGAAGTCCGTAATGTTTTTCTGCTCTTTGTCATATTTGGTCACAAGACCGATCGCTACGCCCGCAGCTGGAGAAGTTACCGGCACCCCAGCGTCCATCAACGCAAGACTTCCTCCACATACGCTAGCCATAGAACTGGAGCCTTTTAATAAAGTTATGGTTAAAAGTCGACCTCTCACTAGTTGCTAAAGTAAATAGACAACATACCATTTGATTCTAGGACTTCTGATGTTAGTCTAATAGTAAAAGGAAATTCACTTGGAATGGTAGGAAATAAGCCCTTTTCCGCTAAAGCCCCATGGCCCATCTCTCTTCTACCAATAGGGCCAATTCGGCCAGTTTCCTTGGTAGCAAAGGGGGGGAACTCGTAGTGGAGAAAAAAGTTCTTTTCTTTTACGCCACTGCAATAACACAACCAACATATTGCAACCGATATTTCCAATGGGTTTACCTTGTCACCACACTCAAGGGGTCCAGCCTCATAGCACTCTCATGAGAATCCAACGTGACTGTGCAGAGCACTTGCGTTTGGCCTCTAGTGAAAACTGCAGAACCGTGCAAGGGTTTGTACAGATCTACTTTGCAGGAAATATTTCTGAGCTCATCTAAATTCCGGCCGTCACATCTGATGTCGGTATCAAATATCAATTCCCTGAAGATATTTTTGACCACCGCGCTGTAGCCATCATTTACTAGATTTTGGTCAGCGTCCGGAAAGGAGGATCTAATTTTTTCTAGAGCGTTTGTTCGGATTTCGGCTAGTGCCACATCGCGAGCAATTTTATCCAGCGAATAGTTTTGAAGAACTTCCTTCACCCTCATTTCTGATAAGCTGCGTAAAGCTTCAGTGATGGCCTCGCTCAGAACAGGAGCAGCTTCTAATGCCCTTTTTGGCTTGCCAAAGTGCTTTTGAAGATTTTCTATTTCTGATACGACATGCTGTGCCTCTTTGGTGCCTACTTTGATAGCTTTTTGCAGGTCTTGTAGCATAATACCATCAGCATTACCTAAACAAGTCCATGATGTAATTGTTGTACACAGGAACCCCCATTGGAAGTACCTTCTAGCATAACAACTAGGTTGCGTTTAGTGGCTGAAATGACTAGATTCAGTTTAGATTCCTGCAGTTCCTTTCTTGTAGGATTTATCAGCAATTCACTGTCGATCATGCCCATCCTCACAGCCCCTATTGGGCCATTCCATGGAATATCACTAAGGGACAAAGCAGTGGAAGCTGCGTTGATTGCAATTACATCTGGATTGTTTATCCCATCAACTGCCAGCATGCTGCATACTACCTTAAGGTGTTTTAAACTGTACTTTCAAACCGTTTTCATTAACAGCAGCACTAGCACTTACTTGGGTATCGTAATAATAGTTGTCGGTAAATAGGGGCCTTAAGCTCCTATCGATTAATCTGGCGGTTAATATTTCTCTCTCGCTAGGACCTAACTCTCTTCTAAAAAAATTAGTGGGTATTCTGCCGGCAGCTGCCGATTTCTGCCTGTAATCGACTACCAAAGGCAAAAAACTGCTTGAGCTGGGTTTCGTTTTGGAAACCACTGTTACAATAACGGAAGTGTCTCCAACGGTCCCCACAGCACAGCCATCAGCCAGTCTGGCGTATTGCCCAGTAGACAGGGTCAAATTGCGACTAAAAAACACGAATAGAGGGTGAAAAAGAGGCTTCGGCCGATCGGGATAACCTAAAACTTTTCAACTTACCCATTGGAAAAGTTGACAGTGGCTTCTGCAGGTTTTACCCCATTACTAGCGCGTCTTGCTACAACTTTCGTACATCGTTGTTGTAAAATTATCCATCTGAAGACGCGAGATCCGCGAAAAATCGGCATTATTCAATCTGTGCAATGGATTTTTAACCTGCAAATGCAGCTCGTTGTTTACGGCTTCTTTCGAGCAACGCTTCTTTTTAGTTTTGACGTTTCTCAGTTTGAAAATTTTTTTGATGGTTTTTGAGCGGAATTTGCAGATTTGTGGAGTATTTTGCGGCGAGATGGTAAGACAATTAAAAGCCCCATTTGTTAATGGATCCGCACTCGTATTATCCAGCGTATTTTCACGGTATTACTGATCTTTTGCGACTTTCTTTGCAGCTGAATTGCATTCCCATAAATGGTAATTAAATACTGATTTTTTGGCAAAATTTGAACACTTATATGTAAATATTTACACGTCCTTGGGTAGCTTAGTGCTTTGGAAAAGATTCTAATAGTTTTCAGGATTTATTGTAAAAAATTGTATTTCGAGAGTTTGCCGTTAGCGAAATTCATGTGCTGAACAGAGACACCAATTAGGAAGGTGTTTGTTTCTCTCTCCACTACCTCGAGCTATTATGAGAGAAGTCAACGAAAGGCACTAGAATCAAGGTTTCTTTTTAATTAAAAGCTGGCTTTTAACTTTCCGAAAAACTTTCCGAAAACGATTCTTATCGCTTTGTGGTTCAGAAAACTATTTTTATTCAAAACAGTTCACGATTCTGAACTAATTTGCCAAGATAGCAACCTAAAACTGGGCGCAGTCTTGATTCGAATTTATTAGAAAAGCATAAACTATAAAGATATAGATGGTGAAACAAGAAAACGTAAAAAATTAAAAGTTGCATCTGGAAATCCGTGGAAATTGTCTTCGATGGGGCGTTACGAGACTCATTTATTTTGGTTAATTTAAAATTTTAACGTTTATATTAGAAACAAGACTATTAGAATACGTAGGGCGTAATGGCAGATAAAGCGTTTAGATGTTATGATATTTACTTTAATTTTATTCTATTCAATAGGCGGATGAATGCGAATCGTACTGTGGCCCACCCTGGCCGTCATTTACTACAAAATCGATCTTTTAGCCTAGCGAAAAAAAGGTTTACTTCTCTCAAAACTCTAAAAATCTGAGTCATATATTCTCAACTTAAGGAATTGAAATCTGATTAATTTTCATCTGGAAAATGTTGAGGGTATACACATATACACATCGCAAGTCAGCTAATTCCATCGCCTGTGTTTGGTATACAATGCATGTTGACTATATTCGGGCATCTTAATTTAGCGCGATGACTTGGTTGATATCCCCGCAAGAAAAAAAAACGTTGTTGAATGTGCTTGAATGAAAAATGAATCTAACTGACTGACCCCAGATGCAAACTTTGATGTTTGGATAAAATGGCGAATGCACCGCAGTGACTTCCCGGGGAGACGCGATTGAGAAACTGCGCTCTGCCTCTAGGGATTCACCACACTTCCTCATGTAAATCCTCTGCAATCAATCTTCAATTGGTTGCTCCTAAAGACGTAGAATTCCCAAAGAAGCAACGGACTGCTTTCAGACCAAGAGAAGCGAAAGGCATCGGCATCGGCGATGATGCACAATGGGCTCCCGCGTGAGCAACTTATTCATCAACGCGATTTCGAATAAGATACAGTTACCAAAAGCGGCAACCATTCAACGAATTCAGTCTCCCTATTTACATATATATTAACGCTTGGATGGTACTCTAAACCAAGTGCGAAGCCAGTACCAGCGTAGCAGCAGGTTCTGTTTCTCCACGGTCTTGTGAACATTTGAACAGGTGAACGCCGCTAGACCGCATGGACAGGCCCTGATGGGGACTTGCTCAGTGTCGAGAACAACATGGCCACGAAATAGCTTTAGTGAGACGCGAAAGTTTTTAGTCGCAACTGCTTTTTACTTGACGGATACGCCGTTAGAAACGGTCGTTTTCGACGTTTTTCCCGACGGAAAACTATTCGTTTCGGGTGAAATTGTGTGCAGTGCCCATCTGGATACTGCCGAAGACCTGCTGGAGATCAGGCGAACCTTGTAAGTGTCAAAAGTGGTGGCGACTAGACGTATGACCATATACGAAGACGGTTGTCGCCTTTTTTGTAGAGCGGCACTCAAATCTGGCTGGCTTACACCGAAAAAAACACTATCGGCTCGGGAATCGCCAACTCTCCTAATCGACTGTTGACGTCTTTTGTTCCAATTCATTTAATCGATTTTTTTATTGATTTGGGTGTCGGAAAATCGATTTTTAATTTAGTATTTGCGGCTGCAAGTCCACTAATTTTTAATTTACTTTCAACAGATGTTTAGTCGATTTTATTCAAATCGTGTTCTAGGTAGTTTTCTCCTGTTTTACTCCCAGTTTTTCCATCATTTCAGTAATTAGGAGCGACTTATTTGAAGTGTTAAACCTTTTGAATCAATTCTAAAGGTAATTCGAATTACTCAAATGATCAATGTGATTTAGCTCCCGGTAGATGAATTGATAAAATTCGATTGAAGCCACTAATAGTGTTTCTTAAGTGATTACTGTTGAATCAAAATGCAAAGTTACACTATTTTCATACAGAATTCCCGAAGGAACAGGGAGTTAATTTTACTGGAACGGTCACAAACCGAATTTAAGTTTTACAACAAGCTTTTTAAATGTGAATTCTGTAGTTTAGTTAACCAAAAATGCGAATATTTTGTCCGGAGATTAGGAGAGTTGCGACTTTTAAAAGTTTCTGAATTAAACTTTACATAAATTAATTTTTTTTAAAACCACATTATTGATCTCTAGCAAACATGCCAGCATCAAATTTTATTGGAATAGAGGCGGGTACTTTATTCCAAAGACAGGACAAACGCTTTATTTGTCACTTGGCCAACCCTGTATATCTGATGGGTTGCTTAGCATGTAGTAGTTATCAAGCCTGAAAGAATTTGGATGAAGTATTTTTCTCTAACTTTCCCCGCACTCCATAAAAAGCCCGAAAAGCTCATCAGTTTTTCTAACGCCATTCTGATATTATCAGAAAATCACCAGGATTCCATACCGCTTATGCATTTCCATGTTTATATCGTTGCATAAACATTACTAACTTTAAACAGGGTGACTAGTTTCCGAATCCTTCAATAAGGAATGTTCATATTTTTGCACTCAGCCCAACGCTCGCATCAGGTCCGAAAACATTCCCAGTTGATATGAGAGCAAGTATTATTCAATTTGCCTTTTTGAACTGAATTCGTGACCTATTTGGCATTGAACTATGCGTTCAAGGCATCACGTACCACCTCAATCACTTCCATTCATACCAATTGGCTGGGGTGATGGAGCCAATTGTATCTGGTCTGGTTTCTACTACACGCACAGATGTTACGGCGTTTCTTTTCTAGATATAGCGTTTTGCCGTAACATGGCAAACAATAGACAATTTAACAATCGGCTGGATAATTAATTGTGAAAATTACCACGGATATACTACCTACTTTTTACTTGGAGAAGGTCTGACTTAGTGGCTTATGTAAAATTTAACTGTAAAACCCTACCAACTGCTGCTGGAAGTTTTATGCTTTTTGTTGCTATGTTTGAACAACAAATCCGGCGCGTTCGATTTGTTTAAATATTGCGGAGACTCGGCATTCATGAATATTAAATACGATTAAAAATAGTCGATGACTTCTTATGTGCCATTTAAGCGACCATCAATAAACCATCCGCGAGAATCAGTATCCAAATAGAGCTCGAATCAATAGGCCATCTTCCTGATTTTTCAACTTCGTCGCTGGCAGATTGGTGTCAACTGTACGATTTATGAATCTGTGATCTGCAACTCACATGATTCACTATATCCTTTCAAAGGATGGAATTTCTCTTTTTAGTCTGCTGGCTGACATGGCGCTTTTTGTAACAACCGGTACTCGGATCAAATAATTGCCTGACTGATTGCTGTTTGGAGGATTCGAAGCTCAGTATGATCTTCAAGTAGCTCATCTGGACAAGTGGATCTTTTCATTTTCTTCAGATGAAACTGGACTGGAGATTTGAAAAGGGATACATTTTCTTTTTCCTTTGTTCACACGTTTTCGAGTAAACCCCCTTATACTAGTTATACAGGGTGTTATATGATTGGTTCTTTGAATGACTGTAAGAAGAAACATTTATATGAGTACAGGTCAGGAAAAGAATCCTTTTCAATATAGAGGGTGTTACCTAATTATGATATTAAGAATTATAATTTTTTTGCCATTTATTTTTTATCTGAAAAACGCGGCAAAATGCGAAAGACAGTCGAGAGCGGAAAAAGTTGTACGGGGAGTTAGTTAATTGGAAAAAAAGAAATATAAAAAATAAGTAAGTCGCGCACATTTTTTGGTCATAAATCGTTGCTATATTGTCCTCCGGGACCCCACTGACCTTAATAATTTCAGTTTGTTTAAGGCAAAATTAGCCATTTAGTAAGAGCCACTGAAAAAATGTGGACAATATCGACGAAAATATTATTGCTTTATTCGAGTGTGTATTGAATAATTTCCAGTGCTATAATTTCCTACTCATATAAAATTACACAAAATAATATACGTACTTTATTAACGCCCTGTATAATATGTATGTATTCGGGAAATGCTTATGCAAGAATTATTGATTTACGGTATTTAGAAACCGCGACCAAAGCCGAAAGAGCAAGAAAGTAAAATTAGCTCCTTGTGCTGTTGAGAACTTCTGCTTCTTTGGCTCATAACTCGACGGTTTTGAGCGAGGTTTTTAAAAGACCAAACCTGCCTGAAATCCTTTGATATTTCCATCTAAGCGGCCTAATAAGTCTCATCAGTCCAGTTGGTTTCAACATTACAATCTACTATCTAATTCTACTAATTCAATCTACTGGAAATAATTGTGTGACGAGCCTTCAAACACACATACATTTATCTAGAGGTGAAAACTTACCAGTCCCTGAGAGAACCACTTTGAAATGTGACTCTTTGCAGTTTTGAACTTCAATCACTCTTCTGTTCGTAACTCATTTTTACTAACGTTTAAGTAGAATTTGAAAACTCAAAAAAATATCAAAATGAGTTGCCTATTTACTATTCAAAACTTGTTTCGCATTCCACCAGCTTCGAGAAAAATAACATTTAAATTTGGAACCATGGAAGTTGTACATTACACCACTGGCAAGAACCTTTAGGGCTATTGACTTAAGGCTGCCATCAATTTTTGTATTTTAGCTGATTGTATAATCCAACCAAATAATCATAAAAATCACAACTTGCCAAGCTAAGCCAGAACGAACTTATCTAAAGTTTCAATTGCGCTCAGGAAATAGTAGGTAATATTTTTATTTTCATACTTACACCAATATGCTCTATAAAAGTGGCGTTACGCCACTGGCAGCAACTTGAAGACAGTTTTTTTTAGAGCCATGAATTGTTACTTTTCTCGAAAATGATCATAGTTTGGTGCAAACGTGAAAAACATGCAAATGTGCAACATTTCCCCATGTGTTGTTTCATAATTTTTACCTTATCGGTTTAATTGCAAAGGGGGGAAATTTAAAAAAATCGAACTCCATGTTTTGCGCTTGTTCACGGGCCGAAGAGTTTATATCTCCATTTTGGATTTGCTTTATTTTCTATTCGAACGTGTGATTCATGCACGATTAAGCTACGCCTCATTTCCGGTTAAACCCGCAAAAACAGGATTTTATGGTTGGATTGGACGGGGAGAATCAATTGCGTGGCTATCTAAATAATCCGCCCTATCAAACGACTATCTACACTTTTTCATGCACAAATTCTTAGCTTTTCTCAGTTTTTTTATTTAGAAATTGAATTATTAAGTTATTTAGCTTTTTGTGTTTTAGATTTTTTCCCCTAAAACCAATTATTGCGCGTACGGGATCTCTTCAAAAAATGATCGGAATGTATAAAATGTATGAAAGAGCCTGGGGCTTATAACATTCTCGGTATCGCGTACAAGTTTCTCCGGTTTAAAGGCAGTATTCCGAGCCTAGATTAATATTTTATACGCATTTAGCCTGGCATTATTTTCAAACCGTTCGGTTTAATGCGAAAGGACAGATTTATTTATTAGTATTATTCCTTTGGAAATTGGATTTATCCCATTCATTTATTATAACGGCAAAATTCTGTACACGACGCGTGATTTAGCCTCCGGTGTCGCTAATTTATGGCCTTCGATGCCTATTTAAATGACTTGTAAATTATCGAGAATTTCCTATTCACGAAAACATGACACCGATGCAGTCTTAATTGTATGCAATCTTAAAAGTGCATCAGTATGAATAGTTTTCTAAACAGATCACAATTGCTATTCTTCTATTCAGGATATTTATTGAACATTCAGGTGTGCAACATCAAAAGTAGTCTTAATTAATGAGCAAGTAGGAAAAGGCTGATGATCGAATGATTGTATTAGAAAATGAAACAATTCTGACTGCTCCATTTTTATATTTTTATCCTGTATTCCCAATTTATAAACAGTTGATCTTCCATCAATCACTTTTACTTATTTTAATCACTTTTAATTCATGCTACTGTCTTTTGTGAAACATGTCATTTTTTGACACTTACTAAATGACGTCTGTCTGTTCCAGGTGACACCTGTCAAACTAGTGACGCTTATTGTGGTGTTAAAAGGACATCAAAATGATTCAAAGTTCGTACAAAGCGATGTACCGGCCGAATTTCTACGAAAGCACGTGCCTGCGGTGCAACGAAACGGTATACCAGGTGGACCGGGTGGGGCCCTTGAAGGATTTTACGTTTTTTCATAGTGGTTGTTTCAAATGTGCGGTATGCGGCACCAAATTGACGCTGAAAACGTACTACAACAACCAGCACAGACAGGAGGACAAGGAGGTGTATTGTAGTGGGCACGTGCCGAAAATCGGGCCCGGACATTTGGACGGATCGTCTGTGGGCATTCGAAGTGCCCTCAATGTTCCGAAATCCTCCAATTTTGTCAACGAACAGATTCGCGGTCCTGGCAGGAGCAGCGTCGAGGGCGAAGGTATACATTAGCTTAAAATTTCATAACAATCGATACGAAGTTTCGCTTAGTTTAACAGCAAGCATTTTCAGACGTATGCATTTTACATGCGCTTTATTTCAATGAT